GGGGGGGGGGGGGGCAGGAATAACGTATAGGTGGGTCTTTTGAGTGAAAAAATGGCTATATCTAAATTGTACGCTATTACTATATAAATGCATATTTATAAAAGAACTATTTATTCATGTCTTCGGCTGCGTACGCGGGTACATGTGAGTCTTTGTCACATGTATTTATAAGTCTTCTTCTTCTACTTACTTTAATTCGTTTTATGATAATTATGTGATGATCAAGTACCAATTACCATAAATCGAGTACATAATGTATGCTCTAACATATGTGATACGTAATGAATATACGTATTGTAATAGTACGTGGCCGTTAATCATGATGCCCATCGGCTTATTATCAAGTACTATGATGCATTGTAATGACGTAAATATATATATTTTTTAAGTGAATCGATACTATAATAAAAATAGTATAGATGCAGGTGCCGCGCGTACGCATTCACGGACATTAAATGAAAATCATACAAAATTGTAAAAGACCTATGCATCGTATCTGTGAATGCGAGAAACGCTTTTCTCAGTGTTTAACATTATAAATGTCTTAATCATATGGCTATAGCGTATGACACATACGCGTTATTTACATATATGTCTTAATTGTAGATTATCATAGTTCACAAATATATGTCGAGCAGTGTTTTTCTATGTATCGGCCAAAAAGATATTCGTTAATACGACGATTAGGCTCAACGAGATCAACTATGTCGCCGGCCATTTTCGCTTTAACTTTTAGTTCTAATCTTCTTTACTATTGTGCGCGTTATATTTAATCTTTCTTTTAATTTATATCTACACGTGCAGATTCCTCTTTTTATCTTTCTCTTTTTCGAATGATTATTTTGTATGCAATAAATGTCCTTTAACGTTTTGATAATCGTATACTTGGCGTCGTAAGATTGTGCATCGAAGAACCGAACAACCAAAATGGTATCAGAGGTTCTGCAGTTCTTTTGGAGTACAAAAGGATTTTTTTGTTTGTTGCTTATTTCTCAATGAAAAGAGACTCTATAGTACGTAAAGTGGTGCCATGACTGAGATGGATTTTATTTTCTTGTTTCTAGTATTGGGAATATTTTAAAGTATTTAAAAAAATCTATCTAGGAAAATGCGAAAAGTTTGAATTTGGCAAAATTAATTATCGCGAATATAACTTCTAGGAGAATCTTATTTGGTGGAATCCTTGGAGCGTTATTAATATTTATTTTAAAAAATATGTAAAAAATAAACTGTGACCCATTTGGGAAAATAAAAACTCGCTAGCCTTAAATAAAGTCCTATTCGCAGTTTTGATATCACAGATGCCAAGCTTATCTAGCTCGTTAACATTTTTTTTTGTTTCGGATCGTTTAATCGCGCAGAAGAAAGGATTGGGAGTTAGCGTATGATCTTATCATAGGAAGGTGGTGGAGCCTCCTCCGGTGAATCAGGTGATGGAATTAGAACGGCAATGTGATAAGGTGGCGGTGAATTTTGTGTTGCTACTGGAATTGGCCGTATGTGTTCGTTGGCAATTGTGTTAGCAGCTGTTAGAAGAGATATGGGATCCTCCGCGATATGCGGTTCTTGACGATGATGATGTCTGTTGTGTACTCGATGACAGAGGATAGCGCAGAAACAGCCAGATAGTAGAAGGATCACCAGCAGACCACAAAATAGAAGTAGCTCGAGACCATTTCGCTGCTTATTATGCAGTAAAAAAATATTAGGAGTAGTTTGGCATTGTAAATAAATGGTAAATCTGTGGTTAACTTGGGAAAAATCACTTACCTGATGTTCAAAATAATATCTGGCTGCACTCACAATTCCTATGCCAAGAAAGAATGTAATCCAGATAAAACACCTTAGCCTGCATTGAGCTAATTCAGGATGGTCACAGTCTGAGACATCCAGGCGTTGGTTGGTAACATTGGAGGCCGCATAAGGTAGCGAATGCTGATTGTTCCCAATGTTACTTACATTACTATTGTCAATAGGAAAAGAGATTAGAGTATAATCATAGAATTTTCTATTGATAAGTTTCAAAATAATTTGCATGACACTTTAAGATTCAATTTTGAAATAATAATTCATAACTGAAAAGGGCGATTCATTTATAGATACTTTGTTCAGCATAAATATGTATAAGTGAGTCACCCTGTGTATAAGAAGAACATGTTCCTCAGAATCCTCTTAGTAGACCTTTTCTTTAATTACTTGTGGGTGTTGCTAGGTTGAATGAGATGGACAGCTAACCTCGATGAGGCATATCTGTTATCCACAGTATTTCTTACAGTTGTTCTATGTGGCCTTGAAGGATTAAGACTGGTGCTAGGTCCTGCAGAACTACCAGTGCCTTCGAGACTCTGGAATCGGTGTACTGGAGTAACCATCGATCTAACGTGTCTGCTACGTCGACATTGACCTAAAGTAGAGAAATGATTATTGATGCACTTACTCTACTTTAGCTTATTCTACAAGTTATGTCATAACTCTAGAAAGTTGCTAACCTGAACGTGCTTTAGGTAACGGAGTGGCAGGGTATCGGCGGCCACCAAATCCGTAATAGCTGCTAGCCGGTTTGTCAATCCAGAAATGCATCGGCTGTATCCGATTTATCAATCATCAAGAGACAAAATCCACATAACGGTCTTTCGTTCTATCGCTACTATATGAGATTAACACCAGCCACTACTACTGTCAATCAAATCCATTCACTTTGTTTGACTAATACCCGTAGAGATAATCTTGACGCAGCTTCAGCTTCAAGTACCACTGGTAACATATTTTCCATCTATGTAGTAAATGAATATCACTGGTTCATTCTTGTTATTTGATTACTGCGAAAAACTATGTTCGTGCAAATCCACTGAAATATAAATTCAATGACTATCAATCTTTCACACGCTCACTAGACAGGATAGTTTATCTCAAATGCATTTTTAACATCCACAATAACAGCTTCTGCAGGTTCTTGACAGCCACTGACAGCACCACGACAGCACTGTCGAGAACGTTAAAGATGCGCAACATAGTACACACTTGGTCCATTGTATCTGTTTCGCTCCCTACCTTATCTCCATGGTCGGCTGCAATAGAACCGTGTTCCATTCCGTCGTTACGCTCCATGGAATGCTATCCATCTCTTTATATTTTGCGCAAAAATATTCCACACCATGTATTTCAGGAGATATATGGTCTTTTTAATAATACTTGCCGTCTTGAATTCATAATTTCTACGTTCATTGTAATTTCATCTAGTAGTCTCCGTTACCATTTTGTCGTTGCAATCTTATTTCAATCGGTAATGAGACGTTTATTTATCTTCAGTCAATGATAACAGCTTGTCGGTAAATTGCATGAAAAAAAAAGACCGAATGTACAGCAAAATCAGAATCAAATTATTATGAGATCTCACGTGACGAAGAAAAGATGTTTCGTGGGTGTCTCATCCAATAATTCTATGGGTAGGAAATCGTTTTTAGTAATAAGTTGCGCGTAATTTTTGGCAAATTTTATATGAATAGCTATTGAACAACGCTTTACAGTGCCTTTAGTTTTATTACCGTATCTGACAGTAGTGTCGACATTCTTTGTATTAAATGTCTCTTAGTTTGACATTTTGATTATTGATACAAACAACGGTTCACTTAGTGATTCTTGTCAAAATGGGAATATTTTTTTCCAAAAAGAAAGCATCGAGCAGGGTCACGGAGCAAGATAAAGCCGTACTGGTAATTTCCGTAATTTTGTGGGCGATACCAACCTCAATCTAGCAGTCTTGTCACTTCTGCTTTTATATTTTTATAGCAACTGAAACTCACAAGGGACAAAATAAAACAGTATCAGCGGAGAATTGAGCAGAGTATTGAGAAGGAGCGTGAAATTGCTAGGAAGCTCATTCATAATGGACAAAAAGAGTAAGTCTGTTACCTTTCTTTGACTGCGATGAACAATTTAGGTGGTTTTATAATTCATAATTTGTTATTCTCTCGTTTCCAAAGCCGGGCCTTACTATTACTACGTAAGAAAAAGTATCAAGAAGGAGTCCTTGCAAAAACTGATGCACAGTTAGATAATCTGGAGCAAATGGTGCATAACATTGAATTTACCCAGATTGAGACGAGAGTCATAGATGGACTTAAAGTTGGGAATACGGCACTGAAGAAGCTTCATGAAATTTTAACTATCGATGAAATTGAAAAGGTTATGGATGAAACTAGGGAAGGATTAGAGAAGCAGAAAGAATTAGATGAATTACTTTCTGGAACTCTTACGGAAGAGGATGAGGGAGAAGCAGAGGCTGAGTTGGATGCTCTTATGGCAGAGGATACAGAAGAATCTTTACCGGAAGTTCCTCGGGAAGTTTCATTACCAGATGTACCATCGGATACTGTAGAGAAAGAAAAAGGTATATCACTAAACACAGTGTTTCAGATGTGTCATTAATAGTAACTCTTGAACGTTATTAATTGATCTGTCTGTCCTCGCAGTACCTGCACCAAAGAAGAAACTGCAAGAGAAAGTAGCTGTGGAGGCGTGAAGTACTGCCAAGTGATTCGTCACATTTTAAACTCGTTTGCACGGTTAAATGTATATATGTACAGTATGTCCATGTAATTATTAACATTACCGAAATCGGTAGTTTGTATTATTCAACGGAATAACTTTTCATATGTTCTTTTACAATAATCCAAGACTATGAGTGTTGCAAAGAAGAAAAGATTATATCTTCGCGGATGCATTATTAACGTCCTGCTTTTTTTGCACTATCCCTTAAGAAAATATTAAACCAAAAAATATATTTACGTGAGCGCGGAGAGGCGAAGAAAAATAGAATTTTTTAATGTTAAACAGGGTATCAAAGTTCGAGAAAATATTCACACGTTTCAACAATTGCTAATATATGCTCAATGACAAATAAATTTATCTTACCCTAATAACAACGGGTATTTGCCTACGCATGCTCCAACTGATATGGAATCTGCATTCCATAAGTACTAGCGAGAGAATTACGTCCGTAGCAAAATCGTAGCAACTCTGACGTTAACGTTAAGTGATACTAATATTGCTAATATCAATACTAAGCGTACACAGAGGACAATTTGCTCGCTAATAAAGATAGCGCCGTCATGCAAAGTGCGACTTGGAAGGATCCTAATTCATTCGAACAACTTAGTCAGATAAATTTCATTTATTTCTCGTGAATTTCTAGAAAATATGGAATGATTTTCCAATATTTTATCGTTTCTGCCATCATCCAGAGCACAACAGTTCCTTAAGCCTTGGGTAAACCCAAGAGAAAAATAATAGCGCACGTAGATAGAAGGAATATAAATTAGTTAGCAGGTCAGATAAGATAACATTATTTGATATTGGTAAAGTCAAATCGTTATACGTAATCCATTCTACGTAAAGTCATGAGAAGCATAAATCAAGCGCCAATCAGCTAAAGCAAAATGTACATAAAAGCATATAAGCCGAAAAATTTCCATCGGTAACAGATTACTAATCATGATTATATTACATAAATTAAAAAACAACTGATAACATTGACAGCACCTCGATCGATTTTAAATAAGTTCAAAAATGTAGCAAGAATTTTCTTCTACACATTTTAGTCCAGCCTAAATTTTGCACTATATCATGTCTCTTAACGAATTGCGCACAAGCAGTTGGGTCATCCTAGATTTCTTTTGAATTCCGTGAAGAGAAGTAAAGAACAATGGAAATAAAAAGAAAGAACGTCAGAGGCGAACGACCGTTAACTCTGAGAGGGGAGCATCGAAAATCAATCAAACATTTAGATAGAGGAATGTGAGTCGGCCTGTTAATAATAATACCTATTAATTCCTGTCCTTGATTTGAATTCGAATCGATCCAATTTCCTATTCACAGGAACCAACTCGACAATAGGGCTCGTCATCACCATCCTCGCTGTTGCGATATCACCCTTATGAATATATTTATATATATGTACACATATTCCTATACAAGCTCGACGTCCTTCGACTTCCATCTCTTCACCGTTTTGCTGTTGACTTCTTTGTCACGACTCCTCCCTTTTTCATAATTATTCAGGCGACACAGACAATCTCTCATTGAAAAAATACATTCACACTTATATCATAAGTGACGTAATCTGCTCTTGACAGTCGAAGTCACTAGGGTGAACCAGGATGAATTCTCGTGACAGTATACTATCGAACGTAGTCAACTTGAAAATCGCCTAAGGTATAAAAGGGTCAACAGGTTTTCATATGATCACGAGTGGACCAAAGCGCAGTATAGGGACATGGACAGGGGATTGGCGAGACTGATATGTCTTGCCAAAAAAATATAAAAGGAGAAGCACAAACAATTGTGAGCGAAGACGTCTCGGTAAGATATTCCTGACGAACGAAGATTCACGAAGATAGAGCAAGCATTTGTTTAATTATATTTTAGGAAGTCGCGGTCCTCGGAGTGATGTCATCACAATGATGTAACTGTTGGTGAAGCATTGCAGCGTCTGCAGACGCAGCAGCCAACGATGCGACTGCACGTATTTTCTAGTCCAATTAGGAGCTCTCTAGAAACTGTAAAGAGGCGGAAAATTTAGTCTTCGGGTAATATCTACAGAGGAGACAAACACATTATGTAGGTTTATACAATTAGTGACTTTACGTATATTTATATACGTGTTATAGAGATAGAGAGAGAGAGAGAGAGAGAGAAACAGAGACAAAAACATTGATGCTGTCTGCCAGTTAATCAATCACGTAGAGACTGGATTATTCAACTTATGAAATAAATTTGTTCAGGTTATGACCGGATTTTTTTTAAGGACTTGACTCCGTTCACGTCCGCCGTTACTTTAGCAGTATTGCTATTGCTCAGTATTGCTCTTCCTATTTGTCGGTACGTTGAATATGAGTTTCAGTCAACACATAGGAAGTACATGAAGATGGAAAATAAGCAAACGGCATTGATGTAGAGGGGAAGAGACAATTCGTATTTAGAATGACGCGAACCCGCACGGATCTCGAGTTCCGTATTTAAAACTTGACGGCCTTCGAGGAGACCAGGAGAGAGCGTACAACATCCACGGACAAATAGATACGTCTAATGCTGTGGACTCTGGGCTCTATGGGCTCCATGGACTCCACTTTCGTTTCTATATCTCACGATTCACGAGGATTTATAACGAATATCGTATTGCCAGAGCGAGCTACAATTACGACAACGTTAATAAGTGGAATGACAGCTGATACCTTATTATCATAATAAGAATGGACACTTGGAGAATTCGACATTGTAGAAGTTTGGCCAACTGATCAAATGAAAATTTTGAATGTCTGTATAGACGTATTTTTAGACGTTTTAGAGTTCATAAGGATTGAGGTAGTGAGATATCTACTCACGGACAGATACACACATTATTTGTATGTTGCAAAGAGCGGAGATAACGTAAATTATATCTCGTAGATTTCTGCTTAGTTTTTATCGGTTTGACTGTTATTATTATTTTAGAGGAGTCACGTATGCACGGTGATTGGCATTTTCTTGAAAGTCTTAAATAATTCTCAGCTTCTTGAAAACGTATAACTCGTGAATCCTTTGTTTGCGAGATATCTAGTGTAAACAAAGCGCGGGAACTTCGTTTGCGATTTTGCGCAAAAGCGTCTTGGCCGTAGACGTCGGCAAATGCATATAAATAGTTGAGACTCTCATTAAGAGAATATAATTGTGTCGGTCCAAAGATATAAATGAAGCTCTGGCGAATTATTACCAATGAAAAGTACGAAAGAAAGATAAAGCTAGTCACTGTATTGGATTCTTATTCGAGTTTGTACAGTGCGGATGAATTGCTCGTTAAAGATAAATCTATTGTAAGTGAAATGTAAAGAAAAATTGGTGTTAATGTTTAAATTAATGTACAGTCATTAAAGGTCAGGCAAACATCGGTAATGAGACAGTCGCTACACTTGAATTGGACTGTCTAGGTATTTAATGGCTGGTTTAATATACTATATTACTCAAATCGATGAAATAAGATGGTAATACTGGCATTGAAAAAAAAAGAAAGAAAGAGCAGGCTGCTTGAAATACTCTCGAGTCTCACAATCGTGCCGAAGGAGACACCCTGGTGACTGCTGTGTATCGTGAGTGGCGTAGTCACGTCAGTTGCGCGGAGTCCGCCTTACGGAGTGGAGCTGCGCTTGCGTTGCGTCGTGTCGTGAGGCACTCGTGGAGAGAATCCGTCGAGAAACACGAAGACGATATTAAGAATCGTGATTAGGAGGAACGAATAGCTAATTCGATTGTTTGGTGGAGTCTACGTATATTCAGTTTCTATGAACTGAGATTCGAAGGAGCTAAGGAATAACTCGTTTTAAAAGAAAAGGATCGAAGGGACTTTCGGTAAACTGATCAACCCAACAGCAACACTAAGTTCAGGTAGGTGGATTTTCGCACACGAGACAGAGTTTTTACGAGCCGATATAGAAGAGTTTACTGTTAGTACTTGTAGAACTTCGAGGTGATGAAGTAAATTTGAAAGCAAATTATGTCTTCACGAAATAATTAATAGCAATGTGGAAAGTCACTAGATAACGCATTGTTATCAAGGTGGAACTGAAATTGCTGAAATCATTCTTTTCCTCGATTGTTTTACTACTGAATTATAAATGTACACGATTACTCAAAACTATTGCACAACCTTACGACAGTTCTGTATATTTGACTTATACTAATTCCCATGGTAAAACCGTGTTCAGGTGATGCAGCATTATAGAATAATCGTTTATAGTGAATCGCGTTGAAAAATAGAGTTGCGTATTACTACAATTTGCAGTTCGTCAAAGTTACGTTCCACTTGACGTCGGTCAATTGCAATTACTCGACTTCAACGGAGCTAGAAACGATCGATAATGAGTTTCTCGAAGCAATTTTTATCCGCAGGAAAAGAACGCGACTCCTGATGCTTTTTTAAACGGAAAAAGATAAAAAGAGAGGAGAACAGACGAACGAATCACGTGGCAGAAATATTTCCAGAGAAAAATGAATCATTAATCGACCTGCCGTAGAATTTTCATTTCCTTCTCAGAAAGTCCTGCGCGCATATTAATAGCGTTCAATCGCAATATTTTAATTTCTGTAATTTTTCAACTGCCACCAGTTGTACAGTTTTGAAATTTTACAGCTCGTCAGCCACCGCCCGCGTCCCTCGTCCCTCGCCCCTCGAACAGTACTCTTCTCTGGACGGGAAAGTTTTCCTTGAGAGATGTATCGCTCTATAAATTCGATTATCATTCGGCAGCGTTTCTCAGCGTCCCTCAGCATCCATCAGTGCCGATCGCCTTGCACTGGAGCACGTGGACCATATCACGGTTCCTTGACTCCCGTCACCGCTATCGAGTCACCTAATGATTCGGGCTGACTAAGAGCCTCGTGACTGGAGAATCACTTTTTTTTTACTCTGAACAACATGACCGTTCGAAACAACAAAATTTACGCGGTATCCTAAATTGTTCCGAAGAAGGAAATCACTTGGAAAAAATAGAGCAATCGTTAAACGATCTTTGACAAGGTCCTTCAAGGCCCAAAGCCATAGTAGACCGAAGGACCCCATGGCAACGCGTAAGTCAGGCTTTTGTTCGGTTTTAGATGGCGGAATCAACATTCACTATTTCACAAGTGGGTACAGACTGCGGAGCAACACGTTCGACACGGGCGCCTCATGCTTTTATGGGATTCAGTCGGCACAGTCACTCGGAAATCGTGTCAAGCGACCGGTCTTTCAGGATCGACCTTCCTTCTTGTATTATTTTTTTCTTCTGGTTTCGTTATTTTTATCGCGCGCCACAATTTTTCCGCGTCTCCAACTACAAAGTAAATTACGTTTAATTGCATTTGCATCGATCGATCCGTTCGATCAAGGAGTTTGAATTCAACCGTCCTAAGAATAATTGTCTGTCGAATCGACTCAACTTATAAAAACAAGTTCACACAGCTGGTGTGACGTGCAACTGTTGACACACGAGACACGTATCGAGTATCGAAAGTTTATATTGAGTCTAAGAAGTGCAGATAGCACAAACGAAGGTTTATCAATTACGTATTCTCACGGAGCGAATCACCCTGTTTATTATTTCTTACAGTTTCTCTTTTCTCCTATCATAATCTTTGATTGTCTTAAAAATGGCTGGCACATGGCTTTTTTTACTGTTACCCCGTCTACATCCAGTACTGGAATCTATCTTCGAAGAAGTCCTTAATATTGTAGGAATAAAATTGTCCGGATTTTTCCCAAAGTCACCCATCGCAACGAGTCGTTGACGCAAGCGAATAAAGGCGGTTGGGTCTCATCGGTGGTTCCAGTGTGAATCCAGGTGAAGGTTGTAGCATGTAAACCAGCATTACTTTATCCTTGATGTAAGCGAAGCGTTTCTCACAGTGCGTGGTGTAATACGACGATGAAAAGTCTCCATAGGGTATAAACTGGAGATCGCAGTGTAATAATGCTTTGGCGCACGATAAACAGTCGCTCGCTCGGCGCCATAATAAACTGTGACTCGATAAAATGTAAATGCGAGTCCCGTTTACATGCACGCAGGTCCAACCGACCGTTGCCGCAAATCCTCGACCCAGGTAGACGGGTCGCGTATAGGACGGAGAGGTAGGCGCGCAAATGTCTAACTCACGCTAAGGTCGCACAAGATAGGATCGTTTCTAGGTAGAAGAGAAGCGAGGAGTCTCTGGATTGGCTAATGGTGGATGCTAATATAGAAAGAAATGGCGACTTGTCTTTGGGTATATTCTCTTTTTGTTCTTAGAATAGGAAAATGATAGCGGAGGGGAACATCGAATATTTGTCGACGGATGTTAGGATATAAAAGCGACGTGTACATGCACATTGTTAGATTGAACGCCGAGAATAATACATTGACACTGTTTCTCGAGAAAGGAGAATTGAAAATATTGATGCCAGTGTGGCAAAAGGAATTTATGGAGAAACACAAGAATCTTTATAGTCCGTACAGTTTATGATTTTCAGCTGTATCGTCGTAACGTCATTAATTTTCTTTAGTGTTTATTATACATGTGTCTCCTTGAATTTGGCAGGATCACTACTGGCTACGCTGGTTACCATAATTTTCTAAAGCGTCGCATGCCGTAGATATTGTTGAAATACGGTAAGAGCCAGTAGCCACCGTTCTTTATCTTCTTATGCATCGAGAATGATTCGCTTGACTGGCTGACGCTGTCATCAGAAACGTAGAAATCTTGGCTGACATCATTTTCATGATTCCACCATTAAAAACTTTCCTCTAGACTGTATTTATTCAGCATTTTTGTTCTGCCTCTTTTGCTTGCCGCTGTTCAGCAACGAAGGAAACCCAGTCTGACCCGATTCCGTCAATTGAATTTGGCTCGGGACAACGAAGGCAGGAATAGACGAAAGGGACGAGAGGAAGTAAAAGGACAAAGAGAAGCGGCAGGACTATCGTGCAAGGCGTGGGAACGCAGGGTGGAAGTAGTCTATAGTAGAAGTGAAGAATATAATTTACGATCCTGTTTGTTTGCTCTGATATGGCAACGTCGTCAACGCGCCCGGCCCACCGGATCTTAATGTTTCTCATTGTTCGAATGTTCTCGCTAATTTGTTAAATTGTGTGGCTGGTGTGTTATCAGCTCGAATTACCAGTCGCGATTGGTGCGACGTTAACTGAATTAGCCAAAGTTTGCCGATAGCGGGATGTGCTCCTGCGAGTCCGTTCGACTGGGACTGCGAATCTCAGGTTAGGTTAGCTCGGATGAAGTAAGGGATCGTTCGCGGGAGAAATAAATGAAACGAGCAATCGTGTCGACCGGAAGGAAGACGTAAGTCAACCTTGGTCTGATATAACAGGAACGAAGGACGAAAGACCAGCTGGTTTCTCTGCGACTTACAATTTCACTCTAAAGATAACAGATGCGGCAAGAGACGCGCGTCAGAGGTGATGTTCATTGAAATAATCGTAAAGTGCAATTTAAGTTCCGCGAAGGCAGTCTGACAATGTTGCATCAAAATTTCATTTAATAACGACCCGACTGTCTGACGTTAAACTCGTTTCCATTCGGGAGAAACATGATTTGTCACATTAGCGAGATTCTCCGCTTCGCCGTTATCATTTTTCTTCCTTTTTTTGCCTTCTCGGAAGAGAAACGCGATACTTGGAGTCTGAGTAACGCGAATGACGTCACGACTCTCGGTATCAGAACGTTATTTCTTGACGTCATTGTTTTTTCCTTTTCCTCGATACAATGTCACTCACGACAAACGCACCACCTGAAGTTGGCTTGTCCGTTCGATTTCTATGACAGAAACCACGTTCGGGTGATACGTTTCTACCGAACAAGCCCCTACGTCACAGGCTAAATATTACGTTCGATTATATTCTCGAATTTTCCAAGAGATAATAGCTGAGGTAAATAATATTTGAATAGCTTAGTATTGTCAGTGCGTTAGCAACCGAAGCAATTACCCATTCCAATTGGCCAAGATCAGCGACCGGTTTGAGTTATAAAAATAGATAATATGTAAGCGAACACGCCCCTTTGCATCTGAAACGGTGTTTTCTTACGTTTCTGAACCGGACTGTCCAGGACAATTATTGCAATAGTAAAATTTGACATTTGTTATACGATATTGCGGTTGCCCACCATTTCCGAACGATTTATAGGCAAAGAAGGAAATTTCACAATCCTCGTTAACTAAATAATCATTTATATCGTGCGAATTGAAACCGTAAACCTGATAGTCCTTGGAGGACGGCCAATTCGTGTATGACGTCCTGTCTCTTCAGAACGTAGCTTCTAAATGATCCTTCTCAGGCTTTTTTCTCTTTCTCTTTTTCTGATGTCTCCTCGCTGATTCGCATATAATATACGAGTTCAATGTGTTCTTTTTTGACAGCTGACAAACAATGCAATAATTAGCAAGTAACGTGTAGTATTCCATAAGTTGAGGGAAATATATGGTAAAATAGTAAGAAAAAGGAAATATGTTTAAGTGCAGAACCATGAGCATTGCGTACTTTGTAAGAAAACATTTATGCGGAGCTACGTGCAATTTGAACTCGTGAACGGACAATACGTGCCATTTTGCGCATTATTCAGCTTCTCTGGACGTGGATATACATACATAATTATCTGTAGATAATCGAAATATTCAGATATGGAGATAACATTGAAACAAAGATTTAAAAAATCTAATTTAAAAGAGTCCGATGAATCACGAACGTTTAGTACAGTTCGTACTAAAATGCACAATAGTATAAATGTTTGTTAACTGATTCAAAATATTCTTCGAGAATCAAATATTGATCAAAGTATTTTGCACGCGAGAGAGAAACTCAAGAGAGAAAGAAATGCAGTATCGAAAAAGGGATTCTTTATTTCGAGTCAATTGAGATGTAACCGATCGATAAGAAAAGAAAAGAAAAATCACTGATCACATGTACCAGAAGGAATTTTCGATTGTCTATTTCTATTTTTCGTAGCATTTAATCTTCACGAATATTGAGAAGTGCCGGACTGTGTAATGGATGCGAGCTTCTTTTGTTAAGCAGCCCTCGAATAAGGCGCCAATGAACTTTGTAATAGCAGCCATCGCAGCTTCTTCTCGCTGTGATTTATTTGCCGGGTGCTCGAGTGCCACCGTACCCGTGATGCCATGCGATCCTAACCTGCAAACTGCAGTCAGTACTCGGACGCGGTCGTAGACGCCACGTCGAACGTTAGGTACCTCTACGTTCCGTGTATTATTTCGCATCATGGATCGACCGTAATGCGCGTCGCTCATTACGTGTACGTCGAGTCAGGTAATGACGTATTGCCAGACATAATAAACACTTAGTAGAGATTAGAGACGTGAAATAGCGCGCACAACCACTAGACCGTTTTGTTTCGAAAACTTTGGTTGCATCGCCACATGGGACTCGAGTCGACTCGAGCGTCTCTGGTGGTTCTAAGGGGAATGAGAACAGGAAAAGGATATGGAAATGGAGGTGGAAGAGCGGAAAGTCAAAAGAGGCGAATGGATTCTAGGGGATACGGAGGGAGCATTGTTATCGACAGGAAAATGGGTTTCGTGATATGATACGTGAGCACGGATGGTAGGAGGAAGACGAGGAATTAATGTCCAGTGGACTAAAATAAGACGTGCATGACGACGGGGTGCGGTTGAGTACCCTTCGGGGACGCATTATTTACCATCCATCTAATTCCTGTTATCACGCCATGTGTCCCTTCTTGCACGCGTCATGTGACGGGGGTGCCGGCAATAGTCGCCATTCCTCCCGCTTTCCGACTGACCCCGCCTGACCCACTTTCCATAGTGCTCCATAGAAGGCTCACTTTTCGCGCTCTTAACCAGTCGCTTATGTCAGTTCACTTTTAGCTGCTGTCACTAACCAGAATCTTCGCTTCTTTGCATTTTCAGCCATGTCTTTGGAGGAGTCACGGCGGTCCCAGCGTCCCTACAGGTATGGGATGGTTCTCCTTTGCGTCGGGGCCCTCATCAATTGGCTAGGACTTGCTGAAAATTACGTGGAGCCCGTACGGTACATAGGGGTGGCCTGCATCGTCGCGGGGGCACTTCTCATTTGCGCTGCAATGTGCTGTTGGCTCCACACACCCCCTACAAGGCCCAGCGCGCAGACCCAGCACATCAATCATTCTATTACGGCTCAGGTACGTTATGCTCTTATCAGACAGTTTTACTTAGTCCAGTGCCTCTGGGGACACACGATATATGTATTTATGACAGTATAAGATACTAGATTGCTGAGTAGGCGTATTGATAGCTTATAAATGAAAATCAAGTACATTCAAGGGGGACAGTTTACGACGAGAAAATTTATTTTTACTTTTTCAAGCAATTGTTCTTTTAATCTACCTTATTGTTCTGCTCGCACGACTGACAACGAAGGACTTCGAGTCGCTCGGTCCTTCGTTGTCTGTCTCTTGTGAATCGATCCAGGTCAAGCCTCTTTTGGATCCCGTGCACCGGGTAGTCCGTAGCTGTAGTTACGGCGTAGACGTCATAAGGGAACCCCTTACACTAGGGCTCGATGTGTGTCGTGTCAGACTAAGCTATTAAGGGTATTCACCCGGAACTGCATGCGATTCTATATTTATCCTGTGATCGTCTACACATACCTCTATCTGTATACACATGACGTGCACATTTCTATGGCTCCGATCGACTAAAGAATTATTTTATAAATACGACCGTTTACAGAAATCCATAAAGCGTCGTACACGTCACGCGTAGTGTTCTCGATCGATCTTCGCTCGCACTCGGCGCCCACTCCTTTAAGCTTTATAACTTTTATTATTTTAATACGGGAAATTCACTAACTCCCCGTTATCTCTGTCAATTGCAGATCGACGACCCGATTCATGTGATCTCGATCGACGAGCCATCGTGTGGCTCGCAGCAGAAGCCACCGGATTACGAAGCTGTCGCGGATGCCCCGCCCAGCTACGACGATGCCATCAAACTGAATCCTGCTCAATTCGTTAGACCCGGCGCTAACGATTCATCGGTCTTACCTGCAGTTCACAACGTGCACCTTGTGCATTCTGCCCTCTCGGTACCTGGAACAGTAAGCATGTCCTCGAGAGATCCTGCACCCACGCCGCCGCCACCATATGCAAGGTAAACGGGGTGTCGCATTACGCGTACATAAATCATAATCCAAAAATCGATCTCTGACGACAAGGAATATTAGAGCGACGCGATAAGCAACGTTATTTTTACTTATTTCAGGTGAGATCGTTTTTACGAAGAAGGATATACACTGCGATCGAAGGACAGGACGTGCGAGATAAAAAAAAGTATAAGCAATGAGAAATCCTCGAGGGACCAGAGGAACCACCGGTGTCGAGGAGCAACAGATGGGTCGACGCTTGATCTTCATCATGTAACCAAGTGACGCCTACGTTGGTAACGCAGACGTCGCTATGAGTACGCGCCACCGATGTATATATGCTGTACATATGAATACGTATAATATGTAGAAAGTGTAAGAGACGTCAGACGAGCGACACCTATGTATCTATGTACGCGACGAAGCACTCGCTGCTGCTATCCGTGGCCTTAATCTTACGTTAGAGTGGGCCCTGCCTGCCATTAGGAATTCCTAGTTTCCTCGGGAAAACGTTACACTTCCAAATCAGCGAATCAAAGACGCGCGCTTGTTAATAGTCTCAAAAGTTCTGCGATACTTTGGTAATCCGAAGGTTCCAACTCACTGGTGACTATCGAGGAATTTTTTCCTTCTCTTGTCTCACGTTTCGTGATTCGAGTGGTTTCCAGCTGCGCCTCGTCCAGTTTATACCAGAGAAGGACTAGAAGAGTTGGAGCGAAGAGAATGATAATGGATCCTAATTCGAATAAGTCCACGAGCGTCATTGTTTGTCCTGTTGCATAAGGATTACTGCGGGACGGAGGAGTGTCGACCGAGTCGTGTAGGGTCTTAAGGCTCTATTATTAATAAAAGGAGTAAGCTTGCGGGTCGCGGAAAGATTTAATGCACATCATCAGTTAAGTTTGTGCAATTTATATATACAGCATCCCGTTCTCTGCCATAACTGTAATACTGGGTATAGCAGTAGAGCCGAAGAGCACATATGTATAAGCATCCACACGTCCGTTTTATTGTGATATATTATATGCATATATATATTTAACTGTCGAGATAAGCTAGGCAAGCGAGTTGTACGATCTTCGCGGTACGACCGTTGTTGACTGCTCTCTTAGTCTCGTAAGACAAGATCTTTTTTATAATGACCAATTTCGTACAATTATAAAAATTGTGCAAACTTATATTTGCGATTTTTATTTACCTGATCCTGACATTTTATACAAATTAAAATCTAATAGCCGAACGGTTATATAGTCAATTTTATTACTTTTCTCTTAGTGCGTATTCTTTTGCGAATATGTATATTCATTTCTGGTTTTGTATCAGAGATAATGATAAGGTTTTTGTTGAAGCCACGAGTAAAAAAAAGCTCACATTCTTTGACCCCGACGTGATTTGAACACGCAACCTTCTGATCTGGAGTCAGACGCGCTACCGTTGCGCCACGGAGTCTTGTGTTAAAATGGTATCGGTTTTTTGTACTTGCCGGATTTTCGTAGTGTCATATTTGAATTTTATTATTTTTTGCATTATACTATGATTTATAAAAAGTATGTTTCTAATAGATCGTCGTCTACTTAAAAATATTCATTGCGAAATTTTCACGCTGAGCGAAAATGTTGCCCTCTATGACGCGTCGGTATTAAAAAGTCCGTTAGACTTTAAAATTCAATTCACGAAGCTCGGATAAGGAAAGGCATTAAAATAATTTTTAATTAAATATTTTTGTTGATTATTATATTCGCATTCCATAACTTGTCATCTACGGAAGTTGAACTTCTGAGTAAAACCTAATGAAACCTACCAACTTGCCGTTTTTTTCAAGTTTTAGCGGAGCGTGCTGTACTGAGTTTCGGGAGACTCGCTGATGTTGAAAGTAGGTATAGCAAAAGTGACGCGTGCGATGTGACGGCTATTATTTCACCTTTGTTAAATAAATGATATATTTGATGACGTACTGGAAGTGGAGTTGAAGAACAAAGGTAGGTATTTAGTGAAATAATAAATAAATTGATTTCTGGAAGCTGTTTCGTTTTGAACAACGCTATGAAGACTGCAGGTTGTACACAACAATTTTAGCGGGAAACGTCTTTTCCAAGTATTATTTCTTGCTTATCAATGATATTTGTATATCTTGTGGTTATTCGATAGTTTTCTAATTTGTCGTCGGCTTGTTGATTTTTCTTACAACACATCTTTGATAGAAAAACATTGCGTAACTAGTGTTGTTATTATACTAACCTGAAAATGATTTTACCACTAAGCTCAACATTTAAATCATTACATTGCCTATGAATAAACAAGCATATTGCTAACAGTATTGTTTTCAATATTATTGGTATGAAAAAAAATGATAACATACAATGTCTTGTCATAGAATGTCTAATAAAAATCAGCAGAATGGAAATATATCTGAAGAAGAGATGGAGACGGACCCTGTTCAGGAAGCTGGTTATGACACCGATGAGGAAGGTGGTTTGCGAGTTGATGATGATATTTACATAGCACCGCCACCTAAAAAAGTTAATGAATTGAGTGATAACGATCCTAGATTGATAATTACTAAGATTGTCAATGAGAATTTTAAAAGCTACGCTGGTAAACAGGTTGTTGGTCCCTTTCACAAGGTAATTATATTTTTGTGTATCAAATTTAATAGATATTCTTGGCTATAATTATTCGTTATACATCTTTTTCTTTTCTCAACAGTGTTTTTCAGCCATTGTGGGTCCAAATGGTAGCGGCAAGAGTAATGTCATTGACTCTATGTTATTTGTATTTGGTTATAGAGCTAGTAAAATTCGCTCGAAAAAGATTTCTGTTTTAATACACAATTCTAGTGAGCATCAAGATGTTAGAAGTTGCACTGTCTCAGTGTATTTCGAACAAATTATTGATAAGGTTAAATGACTGATTTGAATTTCATTAGAGTTGTAATACCGCATTCAAGTCTTCCTCAGAACATTAGGTATTTATTTGCAATATCTTTTTAGCCAGGATCCGATTACGATATTGTCCCAAACGGGGGCTTCAAGATATCGAGAACAGCATTTAAAGACAACTCATCATTTTACGAACTTAACGGGAAGAAAGTGCAATTTAAAGAAATTGCTAAACTATTACGTTCTCATAGGGTCGATCTTGACTATAATCGTTTTTTGATTTTACAAGTACGTAGAATGTTTTCCAGTTACAATATAAATATTTATTACCTATCGTTAATTTTGCCAATATACATGAAGCACTTAATGTTTATGCATAGGGAGAGGTTGAACAAATAGCTATGATGAAACCAAAAGGCCAATCCGAACATGATATCGGAATGCTTGAATTTCTGGAGGACATTATCGGTACAGCTCGCTACAAGGAACCTCTAAATAGACTTTCTGAGAAGGTCGAAGTGCTCACGGAGCGCAGAGTCGAGAAATTAAATCGTCTACGGGTAGTCGAAAAAGAGAAGGACGACCTGGAGGAACCAATGCAAGACGCGATTCAATATTTGAAGATAGAAAATATAATAATAAAACTTCAATACCAGCTGTATCATTGCAAACGACGGGAAGCGGCTAAAGTACTGACAACGCATGAGGAGAAGAAGCAGGAACTGGACAAGGACTTCAGCGACTTGACGGAACAGATGAGTGTCGTTCACAAGGAGTTGCAAGTCAAGAAGGCAGAATTGAAGGAGAAGAGTAAAAAGTGGGAACAACTGCAGCAGAAGAAGGAAGCGACAACGGAGAAGTTTGACAATATCAGAAAACAGGATGAAGCTCTGCACGCAGAATTGGTAGAAACTAACAAAAGACGCAAAGCCAATCTAGCTTCAGTCAAAACAGTAAGTATTTTAAGATGCTCAATACTATTTTTCTAAAGAGGATTGTAGACTTGTGTTATGAAATTGAGTCTACAGTAATATGTTTTATAAAACAGGAAAAGGCCAAACTGGAGGAACTTGCATCTGTGCCTGAAAAGAATGCGAAGACCATAGAAGAATGTGAAATTGTTGCAGAAAAAACAGTTAAACAACAAGAATGTGAAGAAGCTGCTCTGGCAACACTGATGAGCGGTTTACGCGAGAAAACGGAACCATTGCTCAAACAACGGTCAGAACTAGAAACAGAATTGATAACTCACAGGAAGAACGTCGACCAGGTAAAAGCAGCGTTCGACATTGCAAAGTCCGAACTGCAACTTTATACTTCAGTAGAAGAGACAGAAAAGTCGAAGCTTGAGAATTTGCATAAAACTCTACAAGTGACGATAGAAACGTTGAAGGAACGTCAATGTCAGCTGCAAAGTTTCGAGCAGAAGATCCCGGCGACTCGTCGAAGTTTGGATGAGGTACGTAAGGATCTTGAGGAAACAAAGCAACGGGAATTCGAAGTATCAAACAAATTGAGAAACATGAGAGTTCAAGTTGAAGAGAAACGTTGTGCAATGAATGCGAGCAGGTCTAGAAACAGAGTTCTGGATTCCTTGATGCAGGAGAAGCAGGCTGGACGATTACCTGGTATCTTTGGCAGACTGGTACAATTCAAATTTATTTTTCATATCGTATATGTTGTCTATGCGTACCTAATATTATTCCTCTTTACATATCTGATAAAATTGAAGGCGGATTTTTATATTTTAGGGTGACCTGGGTGCAATAGATGCGAAATATGATGTAGCTGTTTCGACAGCATGTGGTCCTCTGGATAACATCGTGGTGGACACTGTAGCCACGGCTCAGACCTGCGTACAGTTTCTTCGCGACCGTGACATAGGTCGTGCGACCTTTATTCCTTTAGAGAAGCAACAGCCATTACTTCAACAATGTCGACAGAAAATACAAACCCCGGAAAATGTACCGCGACTTTTTGATTTAATTAAAGTCGAGGACGAGAGGGTTCTGCCGGCATTTTACTATGGCGTCAGAAATACTTTGGTGGCGAAGGACCTGGAACAAGCAACCCGAGTTGCCTACGGCGCCCAGCGTCACAGGGTTGTTACTCTCAAGGGCGAATTGATCGAAACTTCCGGTACAATGAGTGGCGGTGGTCGTACCGTGCTGAAGGGTAGAATGGGTCAGAGTGTTGTTCGAAGCGAACCATCAGCGGCAGATATTGAGAAACTCGAGAAAGACTTGGAGATCGTCTATCAGGAATGCAATTCACTGCGAGCAAAGCAACAACCACTGGAGGGACAGATACAGACTCTTTCAAATGCCCTGAAGGATATGACTATGGACAAAGAAAAATTTACCATCGAAGTTCGAGCACTAAAAGAGCAGGAACCGCTGCTTAAGTCACAACTGAAGGTCCAAGAAAAGAAGGTAGCCGAGGCTACTTCAAATCCGCAGAAAGTAAAGAAATTGACAGAGACAGTGGAGATGGCCGAAAAAAAAGCAAAGAAGGTCGAAGCAGATGCGAAGTCCGTAATGGATAAAGTGGAGGTGATTAACCAAAAAATCGATGAAATTTCCGGTGGCAAGGTGAAGGAGCAGCAGCACAAAATTACGGGACTGACAAAAACGATCGACAAAATGAAAGCGGAGGTGTGCAAACTGCAAGTGGCGATAAAAACGGCAGAAAGAACAGCGAAGAAAACGGAGCAGCACATCGAGGCCTTGGAGAATGACGTGCACGCGTGTGAGCAGCGGCTTCGGGACATACAAAAGGAGAAGACGGAGCTGGAGGCTGAGGCGAAGGTCTACCTGGAGGAACTGAAAGAGATTAGCGGGACCCTCATCGAGAGGGAAGAAGCTACCTCGGGTTTAAAGGAGGAACTTGAGGAGCTGCAGAAGAGAGAGGGCAAGATGAAGGCTGTCAAGATCGACTTGGATCAACAGATCAATGAGACTCATAAAGCGCTGAAGGAGATCCAGCATAGGATTGTGGATTATGGCAAGAGGATAGACGGCCTGAAGCTTCGGGACATTCCGGGGCAACCTCAAGAGGGGCTCCAGGAACCGACGGAGGAACAGCTGTCTGTCCTGGACGAGAAGACCATAAGCTCTCAACTGCAGAAAACAAAGGAGAGGTTGCCGGAGGAGATACCTAACATGCAATTAATTTCGCAGTATCAAGAAAAAGACACGCTATACTTGCAACGCGCTGCAGAACTTGACGCAATAACGAAACAGCGAAATAATCTTCGCGATGTTTATGAGTTGGCGAGACGTCGTAGAACTCAGGAATTTCTCAGTGGATTCTCCGTAATAACCGGAAGACTGAAGGAAATGTACCAAATGATTACACTTGGAGGTGATGCTGAGCTGGAACTCGTCGATTCCCTTGATCCCTTCAGTGAAGGAATCGTCTTCAGTGTGAGACCTCCCAAAAAATCCTGGAAGAACATTAGCAATTTGAGTGGCGGTGAAAAAACCCTGAGTTCTTTGGCTTTGGTTTTTGCTTTGCATCATTACAAACCGACACCACTGTACTTTATGGACGAAATCGACGCCGCCCTTGACTTCAAGAACGTGTCGATAGTCGGCAACTATATCAAGGAGAGGACTAAGAACGCTCAATTTATTATAATCTCTCTACGGTCGAATATGTTCGAACTCGCTGATTATCTCGTAGGGATTTATAAAACGTACAATTGCACGAAGTGCGCTCCATTAGATCTTGCAAAGTTTTACGAACGTCATGGTTCACCACCTCAGCCTTACACGCAATCTGCTTCATCAAGACACATTTATGGGTCGCAGCCACCGAAGTCGTTCACGCAGAATCCACCTGGCAAGGATAACGCACCACAGGATAACCCTGGATTCAGGTCCACGTGTCCAGGTCAAGTCGAGACTACTAGTATTGTAAGAGAAGAAGCGGATACTAGCCTGGGGTAAATCTATATAAACTAAAGATTTTAATAATAGTTTAGAGCGAACATCTTTTCTAATTGTCACTTCACAGGTTGCCAGAATTGGGACCCTGTCCGTCGCCCCTGAAAGCAACTTCGCCTCAAAAAAGGTCGGAAGAATCAGAAAAAGAAGCTGTGGAAGGCACACCAGATGCACCTGTGCGAAAGAGACGCAAGCTGCAGGCAAAATGAAACTGGTTATTAAGGTGTTATTTCTTACTGGGAGTGACACAGTGAGACGCGTCTATTTTCTTTTAAAACAGTAGACTTTAGATCTTATATCTTGTACATAAAATGCCCTATAAGCGCGATGAAAATCTTGTGAAGATTTTACATTTAACGGATCTCCGTCGGCTCGACGTTGAATCACGTTTCAATCAATCGAAAGTTATCTTCAAGTCAGGACTAATACATAATCTGTTATTGTGCTTGAGAAAAGCTTTTCAAGCTATCTTCGATTTGAACATCCATCGATTGTCGAATTAACTAGTTCATAGATAAAAAATGGAGTATGAAACAAATATTGAAAATATATAATAGAAGAATCTTTAGCACAATACAACTGGAACTGATCGCAGCAATATTTTTTTACATATTTCTACAATAAACATTTGGTTACTGCCTGTACTGTAGATTTTACAACATCTTTCATTCATCACCTATCGCATCTTGCAGCAATTGCACACTGTGACTTGATAACATGCGCGTCGCTTCATTCTCTAAGTGTTCAGAGCGCAAAAAGCACCAGTGCAACTGCATTGGCTAAGCGCAACAAAGCGTGAAGCAAAGCGTAGGATGGGGGAATGAACGTGGAGGGAACATTTCTATAAATGTAACTAGCCAAAGAATTGTGTGAGAAACATAATATTGAGGAAAATGTCAAAGAGTAGTGGCCCAGAGATTTCCATCGAGAACTTGGAAAACAAAACCGCGAATGTGGATCCCTCGATAGTTCCGTCAGGTACGATAAGTTTCTAATGAAAAGTAATAGAAAAAAAATGATGTTATAGTGCGGGTCCTCAATCTCGGGATTATCGATTAAATTAAATTTATAACTCAATGCTTATCATTCATTCTATCAGACGATAGCTCAAGACTATTATCGAAATCTTCGAAATCAGCAATCGCCTAAGCGATACTTGTTATTCTCACCTACTTTACGAAAAATATAATCGAACGTTCTGTGAAGTCAAGCCTAATTTGATTTCTCGTTCACTTGATGCAAGATCCTAAACCGATATTTGTACATAAGGTGGCTTATGGGTTGTAACTTTTAATAACTGTTTTCACTTATTTCCCAGCTGTAAGGAATATACATATGTATTCTTAAATATTTGAATTGAAGCACGTCATGCGAAGCATATCAAGTCATCCGAGCGCAATATATAGATTTTCCATTGGTAATTCAATTTAGTAAATGTAATAAATTAAGAGACCGAACTCAGTACCTATTTAAATATATAAAATCATTGTAAGACTTGACAAATGTAAAATTTCTTATTGCATAAAACATTGTTACATCACTCAAGGTTTAAAAAAAGTCTTATCAAAGACTGCTAAGTTTATTTGTAGAAACGATAATGACGCTCGCAACATATTTGAAAATTCGAATTGAATCCGCACTTGAATAAATGAAAAACAATAGATTGTAAATTTTAATTTCACATTTGAGTGAACTAGAAACACGTGTCTAGACATGTAACTGAAACTGCCATTTGAACTGTTAACATTTTACCTGCTACGTAATTGAGTCACAAGTACATCGTAATGTGATTGTACAGTTTTATATCTGAACTGAAAGTGACTGAGTGAGAAAAATTGGAGCCCGCGGTTCAAAATGGAGTCTAAAGAAGTTTCTTCTGGCCTGATGGGCAATTTGGTTCCTTCAGGAATCGGAAAGAGACACGTGCAAGCCCTTCTGATGTTCTTCGGAACCACCATAGGATATGCAATGAGAGTCACCATATCCGTTGCAGTGGTAGCCATGACAGATTCATCAACGACTGATTCAAACGTCCAGGTGACAGATGAAAAACAAGAGAAAATATTATCATTTAAGTACAATGAATTTCTATTGCAATATCATTTTGAATTAAGAGATTCAATTAGGTTGATATATCGATCGAGAAATTTTCCTACGTTGTCTCCATCATTGATACCACGGGGGTATCGAACTCTGTTGTAAATTTCCATGTAATTCAAGTACCATCAGAGTTCCTTACTGATATCCTATTTCGTTACTGGTAATTGACCGATAAAGACGTTGATTTAATTTTCTAACAGACATACGACTGGGACGAGAGCACTCGATCCATTATTTTGAGTTCCTTTTTTTGGGGCTATATTGTTACTCAAGTACCAGGAGGATACGTAGCGAAAAATTGGAGCGCGCAGAAGCTTCTTTCTCTTGGAATATTATTCTGCTCTATTTTCAATATGATCATCCCAGCTGCTGCTCAGATTGCTGGATGGAGTGGAGTCTGCGCCTGCAGAGTGGGAATGGGAATTGCTCAGGGCTGTCTTATGCCCTGTATGCACACCCTACTTTCAAAATGGGCCCCGGTCCCTGAAAGGGCTAGACTCTGTAAGAATTTTTCTATTCTTTTTGCTTCTGATTTTTTTTCCCTTTAATTTTAAACAAGCCACAGATAACAGGTTATTCAATTATGTTTTAATAACTTTTCAATAGCCACCTTCGCCTACGCGGGATCTTTATTCGGCACGGTGGTCATGATGGCACTCTGTGGAATTCTTGCCGCATCTTCTCTCGGATGGCCAAGTATCTTTTACATCTCAAGCTCGGTCGGTATAGTTTGGGCGATCGCATTTTTCACTTGGGGTTCAGACTCGCCCGCATTGCACAAATCTATTTCCGAGGACGAGAAGAGGTATATACAAGCTAGCTTTGGACAAGCGCAAATTGATACAGAAGAGGAGGTACGTATCCAACTTGGAAACATGAGTTCAATCATATAATTGCTCATTTATCCTGACTAAAGATAATGGCATTAGTTTCTCTTAGTTGACTATGAGGAAGAAAGAGAGAGAGAGAGAGAGAGAGAGAAACATGTGTTTCTTCACTTTTTACTTCTCTTTCTCTCTTTCTCTTTTACCTTGTCTCTGTTTCCTTCTGCATGAACGCCTGTCAATGCGACCTTCCTTAACGAGAAACATGTGTTTCTTCACTTTTTACTTATAATTGCTCATTTATCCTGACTAAAGATAATGGCATTAGTTTCTCTTAGTTGACTATGAGGAAGAAAGAGAGAGAGAGAGAGAGAGAGAGAAACATGTGTTTCTTCACTTTTTACTTCTCTTTCTCTCTTTCTCTTTTACCTTGTCTCTGTTTCCTTCTGCATGAACGCCTGTCAATGCGACCTTCCTTAACGAGTTACGAAGCAGGAATTCCTGTCACATTTTACATAATCTCATAATCGGTGAAATCGTTTATAACAGAAAGAAGTCGTAATGCGACAACACTAGTAGATTATTCCATTGCTATACTAATTAGAGTGTGAAGGGCCTTTATTTGATAGCGTAGAACGTGAAAAAGTCACCCCACTCTAGATCCGACGATAGGGTAAACCAATTTCACGTCGAAATGAAATTAATTTGATATCTTTCACTCACTATATTTTTTAATCTATCACCTTAGTGTTTTAGCAATGATTTCGTCTATTTCGTAATTCAAAAAATTGGTATATAACGAGATATGTGTTATCATCGTTATCTTATTAATTTCAAAGTCCGTTTGTTGCACCGTCACCTTGAACGTGACGATAAAGTATTTTTCTTTAAATGCATAAGGCTCGTATCGAATTGCACGAGGACATTCTTATTCAGATTTATGATAGGTTTGTTTACACGTGCATCTCCTGGGGAATGGTAGGTATGCATTATGTTATATTGTCAGACATGAGTCCTTGACTTGTTTCCATTGATAAGTTACATGGGTCTGATTACATTTCAAATGCAGCTAATTACTCTAGCTCCATCTGAACACCTTGTATAGAAATAATTTTTCTTTACATTGCAGAAGATTCCAATACCCTGGAAGGAGATATTTACCTCAATTCCCATGTGGGCAATCATAATAGCACACTGTACTCAGAACTGGGGCTACTGGTTGCTAATCACAAAAATACCAGGATACATGAATGCCATCCTTCAGTTTAACATCACCGAGGTAAAAAAACAAGCGAGCGTATCCACTTCTTTAACATTGGTCCGTGACGGAAGTTGTAATCAGGTGCAACGGTGCATTCCATTAGTGCTATACATATATGGATAGAGTAAGATAATTGCATTGGTGTGGATTACGTAACCAGTAGCGCATAATATACGAATAACAGTAATTTATATATGTCAAACGATACGCTGGAGTAGTCTTTCTTTGGAACATAATTTGTTGACAAACAGGGAGATGTAGAATAAAAAAAATAAAAAAATAGGATAAGTCAAATTGATATAGGCGTCCTTAACTTGACTGTGGCTAAAGGGTTAAGTCTAGTAAACCCAATGACCTGCAGGTCGCGATAGACTCGAGGTCAGGAATCAGGAACACGATAAGAAGCAACGAATGAATTAATGTTGTCAATGGAACGAGATGAGGTTGCGAAGAAATGCAATAAAGAGATAACAATACTTAAGTTTCTTGTGACAGAATGGGATCGTCTCGGCCCTGCCCTATTTGATCATGTGGATTCTGAGCTTCCCGGCTAGTTGGCTGTCGGATTATGCCTTGAAGAAGGACGTGTCAAAGCAAGTGGCCAGGAAAGTGTCGAACAGCATTGCTCATTGGGGACCAGCCCTGGCTCTGGTTGGCCTCTGTTACGTCAGGAGCGACAACGCGATCCTGGCAGTGATCACCATCACCGCAGCGGTTGGACTTAATGCTGGCTCCATTTGCGGTTTTCAAATCAATCACATAGACCTTAGTCCAAATTTTGCTGGAACCATGATGTCCATAACGAACTGCATAGCTGCCGTTGTCGCAATTATAGTGCCACTGGTCTGCGCTTTAATTGTCACTGATGAGGTATAAATATTTTGTTTATAATTTGACAGTAGGTATACACATGACTATTTTTAACTCACGACTGTTCACTTATCTGATGCTAGGCACAAAATACGAGTTGTAATTTTCGTTACCTCTTTTTTTCTTGGTAGAGCAGGAAACTACTAAATTATATTGTTACAATAGCATTTCCTCTTTTTGCATTGCAGACTGATGCAGGACAATGGAAAATCGTTTTCTTCCTGACGGCAGCCATTTACTTCGTAGGAAACCTGATATTCGTTCTTTTTAGTAAAGCTGAAATCCAATCGTGGAACAATCCTGAATTGGCGAAGGTGAAAGAAGAGCGGTGAATTTTGGCGACTACGTGGCATGAGTCTTCGTTACAGTGCATGTAACAGTTACCTAAGAGTAAGCAGGTGAAATTAAATGACGCTGGCTGGTCAAGTAGAAAACTTTTGAAATTTTTATTCCGTTTAAAAGCGAAGACGAAAAATAATCGAGTGGCAGACAACTGTAGTAGTCTTCGCGATAAAGACGTAACTTCAGTATGAAACTAATGTTGTCACTGTAAATATAACTTCGGATAATAAAACTTTTTGATAAAACTGTCTCTCGTGTTTAACTTCAAAAAGATATATGACGCTTGTACGATTTAAAGTATACAGCATTATAGCGTCCAGACGTATAATCAGTCATTAGTGTTATATTCGGAAAACTTTTATCTTGTCTTCCAGCTGGGTCTAAAACACTTCCCTTGGAACGTGCCAAAATGTTATCAAAGTTTTGTGAAGTATTTGCAAAACTCCAGCTATTTGGTTTTCCTCGACTCAACTTATCGCTCTGAAGATTCATTATCAGCGATATATTTCCAAAAAATTCAATTTATCACAGGAATTTCGAAATTCAGAAAAATGCAGTTAACTATTGCATATTTTTTTCTTCCTCATTCTCTTAGTCGCTACTTCCTTTTACGACCGTCTGTCTTGATTCTTTATTCTATTTCCTTGTTCCTCTGCCTTTGCGCAATTACAATGCTTCTTATATAACAAGAAGAAGAACAGGCATCATCATGGGTTGAGGCTTCGTTATCATTTTTTACAGCGTCTATCAATCACCACATTCACCAGTTTTCTCCTCAAAAAAGCGCCCGTACTTATGATTCGTCAAGATTGTGTGTAAGAATTTACTTTTTTCCATAAATTTCACAGGGTGGGGGCTCCAACTTGTATAAAATCAGAGTAACTTAGTTAACTGACGATAGTGAACCTTTAATAGAATCCTGTCCCCTTGGTTCCCGGCTCGTAGTTCGACAAGGAAGTGTAAGCCATCAGCATGAAGTCATTAGCGGACGACACCAAAATTCCGATTCCTCGGACGGAATACATGAAGGTTGAGCCGGAGGATCTAGAAGGTATGAATCACTCGGATAACTTCATCCTCGTGAGTGCGAATGTTTTTCAATTGCACCCTATTGCAAAAAGGGAGTATTTGGCATTTACCACATGTAATGAGATGCACCATATCTGGTGTGAGTATTTTGATCACTGATAAAAAAGTTATCAGAGTTGACTTGATACAGCACATTTGCTTAGCTGTAGATAATACCATAGAAAGTAAATAACGATATAGTTACTGGATAAGGACTAAGAATTCAATAAGATTTTAATCTTAATCGCCATTAAAAGATAAATAAATTTTAGTGTTGATGCATCAAGAGATAATAACTTTATATTTCCCTCATATTTCTTATGCACAGAATTTCCTTTTAACGCTGTTTCCTTCTAGTTATTTTGGCCTTTTCTATGCCTTTGAAGGAATGTTCTCACCGACACTCATACACAGATCTTAATCCAATCTGATTGCCCTGCATATTATTCATAGCTTAATGTCATTGAGTGCTTATTATGTGATACTCTATCTTGAATTCAGGAAAAATTGGAACTCGACATTGGCAGATATTTCTGATGTTCTTGGGTATGGTGATGGCGTATGCACTTCGAGTAAACATGTCCGTGACAATTGTTGCAATGGCGGACTCTTCTTCAGCAAATATCGACTTCGAAGTAAAATCATATTTACTTGATACAATAAGCAAGAATTCGTTATTTCCCTTTGGATTTTATTATCCAGGGATATTGTATAATGATAATAACTAGTGCACTCTTATAGACGTACGATTGGAACGAGTGGACCAAGTCTATCATCCTGAGCTCCTTCTTCTGGGGTTACACCATAATGCAACTTCCGAGTGGTTACCTCGCTCAGCATTGGAGTGCTCAAAGACTCCTGTCAACTGGAATGTTCATTTGCAGCATTCTCAACATGCTCGTTCCTTTGGCAGCCAAGTATGGCGACTGGGGTGCAGTTTGCGCTTGTCGGGTGGGAATGGGACTGTCACAGGCGTGCCTTATGCCAAGCCTACACACCATGCTGTCAAAATGGGTTCCACCTACTGAGAGAGCAAGACTGGGTAAGTTATCATGCTTCATATTATAGGAGCTTACTTATTAAGCTTACTTCATAGGAACGTTTGCGTACGCCGGTGCTCAATTTGGCACTGTCATTGCTATGCCAATTTCTGGATATCTCGCTGCTTCGTCAATTGGGTGGCCTAGTGTATTTTACGTCTTTGGAACTGTTTCATTGTTATGGACTATTTTGTTTTACATTTGTGGTGCGGATTCACCAGCCCAAAGTAAAATGATCAGTTTCGACGAGAAGAAGTTCATTCAGGACAGCTTCAACGCTGAAAGCACCAAATCCGAAGAGGTGATCAATAAGAGCCAATTCGAGTCATAAACAAATTATAAATTGCTAGTTACTTATGTTCTGTTTCCTCGCAGAAACACGTGACACCATGGGTAAACATCTGCACGTCAATGCCAATGTGGGCAATCATCATTGCCCATTGTGGTCAGAGTTGGGGTTTCTGGATGCTACTGACGGAAATTCCGAGCTACATGAATGCCATTCTGTCCTTCGACATTAAAAAGGTGAGTGCAGGATTACTTTGACAGTTTAATTGCAAGCATTATCTATACTGCAAATGATCTACCTTTCAGAATGGATTGATGTCTGCCTTGCCTTATCTAACGATGTGGCTTCTGAGCTTCCCGATTAGCTGGTGTTCCGATTACGCTCTGAAGAAAGGTGCGACAAGATCTTTAGTGCGGAAGATCTCCAACACAATTGCTAACTGGGGCCCAGCTGCCGCCCTGGTCGCCCTTTGCTTTGCACCAGCAGACAACGTGGTACTCGTAGTGGTTATACTCGTCTTCGCCGTCGGATTGAACGCAGGATCGATGTGTGGATTTCAGATCAATCATATCGACTTGAGTCCAAATAATGCCGGCAGTATGATGGCCATAACGAACTGTGCGGCTGCCGTGGTCGCCATTGTTTCTCCTCTCATCGCAGGTGTGATCATCACAGATGAGGTAACTGCCAAGAATGAGAATTAAGATTAAAAACTCTTAGTGAATTAACAAGTCTATACTCACGCCCTTTGACCTCCCTTTTCAGAACAACGTCAGTCAGTGGCACATCGTTTTCTACTTGACAGCTGCCATCTACTTTATTGACAATTTAATATTTATTATCTTTGGCCGTGGAGAAGTCCAATGGTGGAATGATCCATCTGCAAAGAAGCCACTGAAATGAGCTTCAGGAAACAAAAGAAATAATAAAATACGAACTATATGCTGTTAAGCAAATCAGTGGTGTTAGGATACCAGAGTACCTGGATCGATTCGATGATCCGCCTAGTGAGAATTTGCCAAATATAACTAAGAAGCTTTATGCTCAAAACATTTGTCAGTGAACAATTGTATGTACAAATTTCTGTAAATATCATTCTTAGCAATACAGACATTTACATTTGTGGTGCGGATTCACCAGCCCAAAGTAAAATGATCAGTTTCGACGAGAAGAAGTTCATTCAGGACAGCTTCAACGCTGAAAGCACCAAATCCGAAGAGGTGATCAATAAGAGCCAATTCGAGTCATAAACAAATTATAAATTGCTAGTTACTTATGTTCTGTTTCCTCGCAGAAACACGTGACACCATGGGTAAACATCTGCACGTCAATGCCAATGTGGGCAATCATCATTGCCCATTGTGGTCAGAGTTGGGGTTTCTGGATGCTACTGACGGAAATTCCGAGCTACATGAATGCCATTCTGTCCTTCGACATTAAAAAGGTGAGTGCAGGATTACTTTGACAGTTTAATTGCAAGCATTATCTATACTGCAAATGATCTACCTTTCAGAATGGATTGATGTCTGCCTTACCTTATCTAACGATGTGGCTTCTGAGCTTCCCGATTAGCTGGTGTTCCGATTACGCTCTGAAGAAAGGTGCGACAAGATCTTTAGTGCGGAAGATCTCCAACACAATTGCTAACTGGGGCCCAGCTGCCGCCCTGGTCGCCCTTTGCTTTGCACCAGCAGACAACGTGGTACTCGTAATGATTATACTCTTCTTTGCTGTCGGATTGAGCGCAGCATCGGCATGTGGATTCCTCATCAATCATATCGATTTGAGTCCAAATAATGCCGGCAGTATGATAGCCATAACGAACTGTGTGGCTGCCGTGGTCGCCATTGTTTCTCCTCTCATCGCAGGTGTGATCATCACAGATGAGGTAACTGCCAAGAATGAGATTTAAGATTAAAAACTCTTAGTGAATTAACAACTCTATACTCACGCCCTTTGACCTCCCTTTTCAGAACAACGTCAGTCAGTGGCACATCGTTTTCTACTTGACAGCTGCCATCTACTTTATTAATAATTTAATATTTATTATCTTTGGCCGTGGAGAAGTCCAATGGTGGAATGATCCATCTGCAAAGAAGCCACTGAAATGAGCTTCAGAAAACAAAAGAAATAATAAAATACGAACTATATGCTGTTAAGCAAATCAGTGGTGTTAGGATACCAGAGTACCTGGATCGATTCGATGATCCGCCTAGTGAGAATTTGCCAAATATCACTAAGAAACTTTATGCTCAAAACTTTTTTTACTGAACAGGTTTATGAACAAATTTGAGTAATTATCATTCTTAACAATATAGTATTTTTATATAATTCTGATATGTTTCAATCATCGATCTCCTCTCCCTTTTCTTTACACTCATATATTGTATTATCTCTAAGAATACTTAAATTCCGTCGGTTATTATTATTAACATCATCATCGTCATCATTTGGTCAAAAATCCATATATATCAAGTTTCATTCGGAAATTTTGTCCAAAACGTAGAAAACTTCATGATAAAAATGAACAAATACAGGTGTCCGCTTTAACATTAATCATTGAAATGATTATGATGTAGGAGGGATGAATTGTAAAGCTAAGTACCATGTCTAGGTGGGGATGAAGCAGTAGAAGGGGAAGTTCTCATATAAGCTTGACAAACCGAAGATCTGATTGAATCATATTAGTTGAAAATGACCGCGAAGAGTGTGGGCGATACAGAAGTGGCCTCTTCGGAGGGAGGACCTCTGAATCCACCAGGTACATCTTATCGTTGAAGTGACTTGCAAATTCATGAAGTTCAGCCGATAGTAAAATGTTCGATAAAATCGTTAATTAACTTCGGAAACGGAATAAAATGATTATTTGACACGAAGTGATTCCTTCCAATAGTGATAAAATAACGAAAGGGAAGAAATGTTGAATGATGAATAGTTTTGACTATTCGTTACGTTACTTACGAATCTACGATAATTCATTAATGTTTCGATTTTACTGGTGGACTTTGGCAAATATTTTACCGTGTCATAATTATCTTTACTGATTACATCATCGCTGAGATTATGATTATCATGATCACCAATTATTGTCTATAATATTAGTTAGCACTAGAAATTCACAGAAATTAATGTTTATCTATGAGGCGGTTGAAATATTCTGAATTCCTTTAGTTCAATTTGTTTCCTAATATAATTGCACTTGCAAATTGGAATTTTACTGCACACGGTGCAACGTTACGACACAGTCTATTACAAATATGAAATTTAAGATACCTCAAAGAAAGAAAATGGAAATCCACATGACTTTATCTATAACGTGCCCTATCTTCAATTCAGGAACAGTTGGGACTCGACATTGGCAGATATTCCTGATGTTCTTGGGTATGATGATGGCGTATGCACTTCGAATAAACATGTCCGTGACAATTGTTGCAATGGCGGACTCTTCTTCAGCAAATGTCGACTTCGAAGTAAAATCATACTTACTTGATAGAATAAGCAACAATTCGTTATTTCCCTTTGGATTTTATTATCCAGGGATATTGTATAATGATAAGAACTAGTGCATTCTTATAGACGTACGATTGGAACGAGTGGACCAAGTCTATCATCCTGAGCTCCTTCTTCTGGGGTTACACCATAACGCAACTTCCGAGTGGTTACCTCGCTCAGCATTGGAGTGCTCAAAGACTCCTGTCAATTGGAATGTTCATTTGCAGCATTCTCAACATGCTCGTTCCTTTGGCAGCCAAGTATGGCGACTGGGGTGCAGTTTGCGCTTGTCGGGTGGGAATGGGACTGTCACAGGCGTGCCTTATGCCAAGCCTACACACCATGCTGTCAAAATGGGTTCCACCTACTGAGAGAGCAAGACTGGGTAAGTTATCATGCTTCATATTATAGGAGCTTACTTATTAAGCTTACTTCATAGGAACGTTTGCGTACGCCGGTGCTCAATTTGGCACTGTCATTGCTATGCCAATTTCTGGATATCTCGCTGCTTCGTCAATTGGGTGGCCTAGTGTATTTTACGTCTTTGGAACTGTTTCATTGTTATGGACTATTTTGTTTTACATTTGTGGTGCGGATTCACCAGCCCAAAGTAAAATGATCAGTTTCGACGAGAAGAAGTTCATTCAGCACAGCTTCAACGCTGAAAGCACCAAATCCGAAGAGGTGATCAATAAGAGCCAATTCGAGTCATAAACAAATTATAAATTGCTATTTACTTATGTTCTGTTTCCTCGCAGAAACACGTGACACCATGGGTAAACATCTGCACGTCAATGCCAATGTGGGCAATCATCATTGCCCATTGTGGTCAGAGTTGGGGTTTCTGGATGCTACTGACGGAAATTCCGAGCTACATGAATGCCATTCTGTCCTTCGACATTAAAAAGGTGAGTGCAGGATTACTTTGACAGTTTAATTGCAAGCATTATCTATACTGCAAATGATCTACCTTTCAGAATGGATTGATGTCTGCCTTGCCTTATCTAACGATGTGGCTTCTGAGCTTCCCGATTAGCTGGTGTTCCGATTACGCTCTAAAGAAAGGTGCGACAAGATCTTTAGTGCGGAAGATCTCCAACACAATTGCTCACTGGGGCCCAGCTGCCGCCCTGGTCGCCCTTTGCTTTGCACCAGCAGACAACGTGGTACTCGTAGTGGTTATACTCGTCTTCGCCGTCGGATTGAACGCAGGATCGATGTGTGGATTTCAGATCAATCATATCGACTTGAGTCCAAATAATGCCGGCAGTATGATGGCCATAACGAACTGTGCGGCTGCCGTGGTCGCCATTGTTTCTCCTCTCATCGCAGGTGTGATCATCACAGATGAGGTAACTGCCAAGAATGAGAATTAAGATTAAAAACTCTTAGTGAATTAACAAGTCTATACTCACGCCCTTTGACCTCCCTTTTCAGAACAACGTCAGTCAGTGGCACATCGTTTTCTACTTGACAGCTGCCATCTACTTTATTGACAATTTAATATTTATTATCTTTGGCCGTGGAGAAGTCCAATGGTGGAATGATCCATCTGCAAAGAAGCCACTGAAATGAGCTTCAGGAAACAAAAGAAATAATAAAATACGAACTATATGCTATTAAGCAAATCAGTGGTGTTAGGATACCAGAGTACCTGGATCGATTCGATGATCCGCCTAGTGAGAATTTGCCAAATATAACTAAGAAGCTTTATGCTCAAAACATTTGTCAGTGAACAATTGTATGTACAAATTTCTGTAAATATCATTCTTAGCAATACAGACATTTTATATAATTCTCCCGTGTATCAATCGTCGAAATTTCTCCCCTCCCCCCCTCCCCCCTCGCGCCCTTGTCCACCTGCACGTCATATTATCTTTAAGAATAATTGACTACCATGGTTATCATCACTTAATTAGCAAATTTGATGTGGTTGATTATTATTCAGCATTGTTGATTTCACGATATAAAATTATGTAATTCTTAATATCTCCCTGATAAATGATTTATAAACCACATAAGTAATATCAGATGATTTCTTAATGATTCTCGGACTCTTTTCGAAACATTTTCCAAACATCGACAGCTCAGCGTAACTAATCGGCTAATCAAACGATTGGCTCCGCTTTTGACGAGTCCTAAGCTTCCAAGAACAAATTACAAAATAGCCTTCAGTTCCCGCTCCGTGTTTGAGATCTCAACTTGTTTTACCGTATAAAAAAATAATTGCCACCACATATGAAACGAAGAAGAGAGATTAAAATAAACGACGCGTCTGTTTCGTTATGAAAGATCCTAAGTGGATTTTTCACGTGTATTATCTTAATTCGCAACAGGAAGCAACGAGGAATAAAGTTTCATGGATTGAGATGAAATCGTGCGAAGGCTCTCTCTCGTGTCATGCACACGTGGTCTGCGATCTACGTAAATTCTACGCGAGTGACTTTTAACTGAAACGTTGCTCTCTGAAGGGACATTTTTTTTCAGAAATTCTGCGTAACGCGCAGGCTCAATTGATCAATAAGTATCTGCTCCGTATGTCTTCACAATGCCAAATATAAAGATGCATTGAAATATCGTATCCTGTTTTTTCTTTCATTTTGTAACTAAGAGAGTTCTTAATCTCCAACTATTCAAAGGTTCTAGTAATACAATACGTGAAGGTGACAATGATCTTCATATAGATTAATAGCTGTCTCGCCTGTCCAATTTAAATTCGTATCAGTTGATTAGATGTTGCAATAGAATTATTATAGTATCGTTTGAAATCTGTATAGAATATATCCAATATAGGTTATAAAGATGGGTTATCGATATCAACCTTATCGAGAATTATCTACGGAATACCGTTACGAGGATATCGAATCGTATTGAATTTATCAGTCACCCGTGAGCTTATCTCTTATCAGCAGTGACGAAAGAATTCTCTCATGCTGCACAGTAGCCACTTCACCCCAATAATTGTATTGGATGACAATTGAGCTTATTAGATATCCCATGGTGAATGTTATTAGAATGCATCCAGGGTGCACCTATGTAGCTGGCGGCTGGTAACATTGCGTATGTTGCTGATCGGCACAAGGTGGAACTCGATGGTGGAGGTGGAATTCACGAGGCAGCTATAAAATCACAGCGTATCAATTAGGCGGTCGCAGTTATTACCTAGATAGTTTAATCGATCTATACCTCTGTCATTTTTATTGGCGAGTTGCAACAATGTCATCGAAAATTCTAACCAAGAGAATTTCATGCGCTGAGTTCATGAAGGTGCCGCCACGAAAGCCCAAAGGTATCGATCGTGTTGTCTCTTGAAAAAATGTTTATTAGAATGTAATTTGAAAAAAAAAAAACAGATACGCATTCCTATCGCGAGACGTAATCACAGTTGTGTTAATCCTTTGTAATGCAGATTACGTGTTTGTGCGAGTGCTAGAAACGATAACCGGTGATAAGATACATTAGTGAACAATAAATCAAAACTAAGTCAATCACAATTAAAAGGCATATAGCCGTAAATTGTGATCGATAATTCGATACGAGAATCTACTGCCTCTGCCTCGCGTGCCTGAGCATAACTTTAATTATAATTACGAGTGTTTTTTTCGAGTCGGAACAATGAATGAGATAATTCTTATATAGATAAAACATAAGAAATAAAGAAAAGAAAAGATACGATTTAGTGGAGATACGAAGTACTGTTGAATCACAAAATATTTTAAAAGAATTCCATTCGTTTCGCAATTGGATTTAATTGAATTGCAGCTCGTCTCGGATGCAGACACTTGCAGATCTTTCTCATGACTACCGGATTCCTCTGCTGTTATGCAATGAGGATAACGATGTCAGTTGCCATAGTGGCCATGGTGGACGCCGAATCCTCGAATCCAGACTACGAGGTAGCTAGATGTACATGTCGCTACGCCACGACCTCATTGACTGTTCACCAGATGAGCTTAAGAGAGTCTATCTTTGTTTCAGGAATATAATTGGAGCATGGCGGTACAGAGTACAATTTTGAGTTCGTTTTTCTGGGGTTACGTTCTTACGCAAATTCCCGGTGGAATGATAGCCCAGCGTTGGGGTGCGCGAAATCTTTACGGATACACCGTGTGCTTCTGTGCCATATTTAGTCTTGGAATTCCACTTGCTGCTCGCTACGGTGGTTGGCAATTGGTCTGCGCCTGTAGAGTCGCCATGGGTTTGTGTCAGGGCGCTGTGCTTCCCATTCTGCACACCCTTCTTGCCAAGTGGGCTCCATTGGACGAGAGAGGCACTCTTGGTACGAATTCCATCATGTTGATTTACCTGTCGATCGGTTAGTCTATTTGATTAAAAATGACCGATTGTTCGAAGTATAGGATCCTTCGTGTATTCCGGGGGCTGGATCGGCAATGTGAGTTCCCTGCTGAGCAGCAGCTTCTTGGCAGCTTCACCCCTGGGTTGGCCTAGCTGTTTCTACTTCTGGGGCACTCTCAGCTTCCTCTGGAGCATCATCTGGATGACTTTCGGTTCGGAATCTCCAGCGGAGGACTCGAGGATTTCTGATGAGGAAAAAGAGTACATTGAGGTCAGTTTGGGCGTAACGGAAAGTACCGAGGTGAGATAATTTTTTTTTATTTACTCTCGATATACTGATATTAAATAACCTTATCGTTTTTGTCAATAACATCGGCTGAATTGCCACCGTGAATCCAGCTAACATACAGTAACGTTTGCATATCGTTAATGTTAAAATGTCCTACTCAGGGATATAACAGTTACGTAGATATATATGGTATTTTAGGATTATTATATACTTCAGGACACTTTAACATTGCTGATATGTAATTGTTACTTGTATTTGCTGAGTAGATGAACAACGTGTATTTCCATAATATTAATTGTGAATTTCTTTTTTCTTCATCTTCAGTATTTCCGACATGTTGTATGCCCACGCTGCATGAGATAATTGTCGATTGACTGTATGATATATTACGATGACACGTAATACAAAAAACGGACATTGCTTAAGCGTTCATAAGGCATATAGCATTGTCGTGCTATGATTCTTAATACGATGTCATCATTTTTATTGTTCTTCATTGATATTCTTTTCCTCTGTCGAAGCCATTGAAGACGCCGTGGCTGGCTATAGCGAGGTCTCCAGCTGTTTGGGCCATCGCTATGGCGCAATGCGCACAAGCCTGGGGATTCTGGACGCTCGTTTCAGAAATTCCGTCCTACCTGAACTCCGTTCTAGAATTTGACATAAAAGAGGTAAAAGAATATGGACACGATCAAGACATAACAGATACTTAAAAGGTACTTTAATTGCAAAATGGTCCCGTTAGGCCATTCACGTCGCTCTTCAGCGAAAGGATTTCGCCGATCATGATTAACATGCAAATTTTTGAGTACACGTACCAGTCATATTGATTATTTTTTACGGTTCCATTGACACTGTAAAACTTGACATAAGGCCATTGGAAGTGTTTACTATGACTCGTATTAACACCTCGTATCTATTCTAAAGCTGTTTCCTGCCAAAGATTAGAATCACATATACCGAAGGTGAAATTTTATTTATTTTATACTACGAGCTATAATTTTGAACTGCTGTTAATTGTGCGGGACTTTTCAAGTGACATACAAATATAGGTGCCAATAAGTGAGAGTGCTCGATAAGGAGAACTTTATTAGATTGAATTTAATTGAACGGGGATCCAACTGCGTAAGAGCGGTTATAATTTCAAGAGACTTTCTGCTTGGCTATTGCTAATTGCTTAGCGCTTGATAATTCATTTTTTCTTTTTTTTTCTGCTTATCTACAAAAATGGCAAGAATCAGCAGATAATGCGACTTTAATGCTCTTGATAGATGAGAAAATATAAATTAATATTCTTCGTAGAAAGTAAAGGCGCCGGACAGTCGCAATCAATCGCAAGGACTCGTAATAAGCGTTGCTACTGTCTACGCGACTCGAATCACATGCGTTTGATTTGCCATTTTTCATTGGACACAATGACGGTCAAGGATGCCGAAAAGGTCAAGGTGATATCCTGAGCCTTGGCCTATGCGCTTGGAACAGGATCGATTTAGAAAAGTAATAATGTTAACGTTCTCGAAATTTTCAGGTGGGATTGTACTCGGCCCTGTCTTACTTTACCGCATGGATTCTTGGTTTTCCTGTAAGCTTCGTCTCGGATTACTTCATTAAGTCGAACATTATATCCACGACGACGTCCCGAAAGTTATGTAATACATTTGGACAATGGATACCAGCGATTGCTCTTATCGGATTGGGATTTGTCAGGAGCGATCAACAGGTTCTGGCTGTCGCAATTCTTGTGGTTGCTGTAGGAACTAATATTGCTATTTATTGTGGCCACAATGTTAATCACATGGATCTCAGTCCAAACTTTGCAGGCACTTTAATGGGTTGTATCAATGCTGTGGCCAATATATGCGGCATTGTGACACCATTGATAGCTGGTGCGATAGTCACCGAAAAGGTATGGTATAGAAAAGGATTACATTATGTCAGACGGTCAACACCGATAATTATTTATGCTGATTATGCAATTGCAGAGTAATATACTACAGTGGCGAATAGTTTTTACCCTGTCTGCGGGCATTTACTTCCTGGGTAACCTGGGCTATCTTATATTCGGCTCTGCCACCGTGCAAAAGTGGAATGATCTTGATACAAAAACACGAGCCTGTACGTATCACTGACTTCCCTGACCCTTTTTCTTTTTTCTACGCATCAAATATTCACTCGTGCGTCGGATTCCTATGATTTTTTAGAAAGCGGAAGGATCGAGGAAAATACGGAGCGTGACAAATGTTTCTTTCAACCAAAGAAATCATCATTCCTCGTTACATTAAGGGAAAAACTAGTATTGCTGTGCATTACTACCAGTATTCAATATTTATTCCACAGAAATGACAATATTGTAAAAAGTAACAAATAAATTACCTTCCCAGCAAAAGCGTTTCTCACATTTATACGATTTTTACATAATTGCTATGTAACGACATAGAATTTATGTAGATGGAATGTGATTGTTACAAAATGTGTTTGCTGGGTTTATTTACAAAAAATATTTTAAACTTACCATTAGCCTCACAGTTATCCAATCCTATTCTATTCTTAATTCTCTTTCTTACTTCTACTGGAGCGATTCGACCAAATTCTCTTTAATGCAAACAATGCTCCAAGACTTGTCAACAGGAGAGTCACGTTAGTGACCAAGGTAAGGTGAGACAAATCTCCCACAGGTACTTGCCATACATAATTACACGTAGTTGAATAATAGGGAATTTCTCTCCATTTGGTGACAAGGTCCGCACAAGGTAAGCAAAGCTCCACTTTAGATACTCTATACCCTTTGACTCTTTCCTTACAGCCCAAGAGCAATTTAGGGCTTGGTAGAGATACATTTATGTAACCACCACCTTCCCTGGCATTCTGATATCTTTGGTGTATAGGAATAGTCAGGATGGATGTAATATTATTCAAGAGCGAACATACTGTCACATTTTGTGACATTGCCTTTTCTGCAAAGAGCTCAATATTAGTTTCTCCCACGGAACAAACGACGTTTTGAAATTCCTTTTCAAATCTATGAAGGTCCGCCAATTCATCGACATTGACGTACAATGCCGATGAAAACTCTATGAATAGAGCCACATAGCAGTTCTCTTTGGTTAAATTCCCAATGTTTACATGGTATTCCAAACGCCTAAAACATAAATAATGGAAATATTACCATTACACTGTCTTATAAGATAATTCTATCTGTATTTTCTAGCAGGTGTTAATTCTTAACCTGTGAAATCCATCTCCCAGCACACGAAGATCCACGGAAGCATTAAAGGCAATGCTAATTGATATACAATGGAGAAAGAAAAATATCGCGCAAATGAGAAGACGTGCTTGGCGACGCGTGGCACCGAATAAATTCATTTCGAAACACGTTGAAACATTTGTAAACACTCGCCTGAAATTTTAGATTTGAATTTAACTACGTTGGGTTAGGTTTGGTTTGGATGAAATCGACTGTCTATTGAGTTGAGAACGCTGCCGAGAAGGGACGCCACATTCACTCTTTGCAGTCGACTCTAGTCTACTTTACCGAACAATTCTTGTTTGTCACATTTATTCCTTCGTCTCGTATTTTTGGACTCTTATACGGTAATGTATACTATATACTAATATGTCTCACATAAAGCCCCAATGCTCACAGCTAACAGATTCCTACGACAGAACAACAAAATTCCTTCTGCATTCTGTTTCGCATAATTTATAAGACGAATAAAAATATTACACAAATAAGTTTCCAGGAATTCTGGAAAATTCGAGAGTACTTAACTGCCATAAATAATGATCTGGACGTGAGTCATACGAATTCTGCCATTCGTCTCGGTCAGTGATAGCTCCACTTACGTTCGACATTGGATAAAAATATACATATACGAGCATGTCCGACATACTTTCGAAAAACCGGAGGTGTCGTAACTTGTTCAAGCGGATTTAATGTCCGCTCACGTTAAATCCACCTAGAGATTGATGACAAATATCAGTAAAAAATAAAGCTACAATACACCAGCCGATAACTCTAATCCACTAGTAAATTTACACATTTATCTCGATGGTAATTTCCTTGGGTAACGGTCTGACAGTCAACGCTGATATCCGTAAAAATTGAGCTTTTCCCATAGGAAGGAAGTCAGTTATCCGCGGTATCTCGTAAAAAAAATGTCATTACCTGAGGATAAAAAAGAACCTTCGAACGTGAAAGAGCGCGTGAAGAGGAAATTTACTATAAAAGTGAAGGACGTTCAATTGCGTGAGCAACTCTCGAAACTGATTCGATATATCACCCTTGCAGGATGTCTGATAGCTATGCTCGTACAGTTGAAGCAGTGTTTTCAAAAATTGACTGTACCACCGGTGACGACGCACACTCGATTCCACGTGAACGATTCTCTCTGGTATCCAGCCTTGACTTTGTGTCGGGAGCCACCCTTTCGCAAGGAAGTTCTTACCAAGTGGGTCCCCATAATTATTAGGAGCTTTCATCTTCTTGTACGTAGATGGACATTATAGTTTAGTATGATTATGTTTGAAGATACGGATTGGCAGCGTCACCGAGATACACGTCCCATTGGCGTAATTTTCCATGGAATGAAGCCACCATAGAACAAATGTACACAGAGGCTACGTATCCAGCGAACGAAATCCTCCTGCTTTACGGATTGAACGGCGAAGAACGTAGTGAGTTTCGATAAAGCGACACAAGTCGAATATTTCAAGACCCTGTAATAGAATTGTGGCGTGCGTCTGTGGCCCAGCGATCCGGGATACAGAAAGTTTGCTAAGTCGTATTTCTTCATCAGCACGAAGTAATGAGGCGGGCGGGCCTAAATAGCACGTTTGGTCTATTACAGAGTTTTACATGAAAATACAGTGGTTCACACCGATTTTCCTCCTGGGAATAAATAATTTAGACATTCAATTGGAAAGCGCTTTTTACTTCGAGTCTGGAATGTGTCACACGTTACTACCAAAAGCCACGACTACGGAAGCAGGAGTGGACGTGGGTTACTCGATCCTCGTAACACACAGCGGTGATCAAGGAGACAATCAACCGTCCGGATGGCACCTCTACGTCCACGAGCCGAGTGAGAACTGGACAGAGCATAAAATGCAGTCCCTTGGTAGGCAGGTAGGACAATCGGGTTTCTTAGGAAGTAATGTCATTATTTTTTTGTTTATCAATTGCAATGCTTTCAGGAGGCTCTGTATGTCGAGGTCGGCGAGGAAATACACGTTCGGATTGCCGTGCAGGAGTTCCATCATATGAACACTGGACAAACGAGATATTGCGTCGACAACGTAGATGGAGGTGAAGTCAGGTGCGCCGAGAGATGCCGATGGGAGCAGAAAGCCGTGGATAATTGCGTGGCGCCCTGGATGCCGGGCGTCGATTTGCCGGAGTGCGACAATGACAATGACACCATAAGATTAATAATCAGCTACCTGAAGTGAGTTTAATGGCAACCAAATGGAATAGAGAGGGGACTGTTAATGATCAATGCTTTTAAAATTATAGATTTGATCAGTGCACTGGCGATTGTTGTGGCTGCAAACCAAGCTGTCGTTTTGTACGGTACGACGCTTTACCGGTCACCAGGAAGCCATTCCCAGAGCCGATGTCGCAAATCTATGTATACTTTACGGCACGGTTGGTCACTCTAATGGAGGAAAAGTCAGCTTATGACTTGTCGACTTTCATTGCAGAGCTGGGGGGCAGTTTGGGGTTTCTTTTGGGACTCAGCGTCCTGGGACTTTTAAGCTTTTTTGAAAAATGTGTCGACTTGGTCATTATGAAAATACCGAAAAAGTCGATCGATACGTCGTCGCCCTAAACTTTTTCCTTACTTGGACTATTCTTGGTGCTGAGTCTCATTGAATTCTAGTTGTCCGCACGTGTATCATTGCGCACATTATCCTAGAGTGCGTAGCTTATAGCTTGAGTAAATTGATTTCGACATTCTGACTGGTCCCGTGTGAACGACGACGAAACCTCTTCCGGTCACTCGAAACTGCCAAAGGAAATAGAACCGTCCATCAACCGCTGGTATTTAATAAACAGTCGAGTTCCTTGCCAATTTGCTGGAAATAATCCTTTTATCATATGTTGAGGTCATCTGTCAAATTAAATTTTTTATCTACGTTTTAGATTCCGTAAATTCGTAATGGATGCCTATAACAGGATATCGATGATCGCGAGAGCGAAATTAAGGAACACCGGATGCGATCATTTCGATCTGTAAGCACATTCAAGATTGATGAATCCTCAACGCGCAATAAATATTTATCCGGAAGTTGGATGAGCGTAAATTCCGAAGAGAGGATAAAATTACAAAGCTGCGAGAACGACCTTGCCCTCTTGCCGATCTTTCGGTATGGAGTTGCGCATCTCGAAGGAAGGAGTTCAGTCAGGAAGGGAAATCGTCTGATTCACACTGCATGAGCTGGCCAACCAAAAACGAGTTAGGTCCGCAGCTTAAGAAAATAAGGCTTTTATTAGCGAGCTGGGTCCTAGTTGGTTGATCTGCTTTTGACGTCACCACGCATAGCAATACCCAGTGAAATGAACTAACGAACTGACGAACTGACGGACTGACGAAGGAAGGATTGTAAGAAACTACGAACGTAGAGCTCGAAGCCGAGGTGTAGGCTATATTGTCGCTGGGACACGAAAATAGCTGCAGTCAGCCCAGAGGCGGCAGAAAGGAGGCAGAATGAGTGAGCGAGTAGAAGAGAGAGAGCGGCGAGGGGGAGGAAGGGAGAAAGGTAGAGGGTGTCGGTAGAGACGGCACTAGGCACTAGAGATATTGGTGGTGGTTGCTAGTGCTGGCACTCCCGTCTCGAAGGTGGTGGGGTCTGGAGCTTATGTAAGCCCCCTAAACACCAGCCGAGTCCATCTTGGACTCCTGGCTCGGATTCGGACTAAGGATTATGTTCCATAGGGCACATCCAAATATTCCACGGGATTCTAGCTTGGATCGAGACGTGGATTACATGGCCTTGGCACTACCTCGAGTTACAGTAGCCTATACTCTATCCCGGAACCGTATAGTTCATGTAGGCCATTGTACGAGGAAGAATCTACCAGTGAGAGCCCAGAGAGAGAGAGAGAGAGAGAGAGAGAGAGAGGACTAGGCGCCTTGGCATGTACTGCGATAATTTCATAATCCACAAAGGCATACTTCCTTGTGTCGTTGCTATTCTTCTTATTCTTGGCTCCGAATTCTTCTGGTCCGTTTGGCTCATTCTACCTGAGCAGCCTTGGAAATAGTCAGCTGGAGTTGTTGAATCGACTATGAATTATTTCTTTTCGAAAAACATGTTTTTGCAAAACTCCTGAATGTCACCTTTTCGAAAATTCATACGTGCCAATGTTAAATTCAGTCGCGTACAGCTGGAGATGATTTTGCAGCCTTGTCCAGTGCGCAACAACTGGAATCATCCGGGCGAAATGCAACGTTAAGCCGTTCGGGCTGAACTGTTCCCATAATTCACAGTCCACGACTCCTCGCTGCCTCGGATGGCGCAAACCACTTCCAAGTGTTACGGCTGCTCCTGCATACCCTTTACGCACTTCCTCAACTTCTCTTCACCTTTTTTCCGCGAGAAGTGTGCCAAGAAGAAGCGCGTTCTACTCTATATTTGAACTTGCACTTGGAGCGTGTCCTCGAATCGCAAACTTCTCAGAGATTTTCCGGGCTGGAGGTTCAGGCCAAACCACAATATTTTTCTTAAAACCCACAGGGGAGTTTAAAGAAAAAGAACGAGTATCAATAAGAGAAAATATTGTCTTCGAGTTCTCGCGCGCGTAAGGAGGTCGTACGAAAAAAGCTAAGCCAAATGATGGGGAGAAAAGCGGGGACGGAAAAGAAGAAGAGACAAAGTCACACCCCGTCGTTTGACTAATTTTGCACTTAACCCCGACAACCTTCGACTTTCCCCGGTTTTCGTGCGAGCTGTGCCAATTCTCAGTGTCCTACATATTTGCGCAGTTAAAAATATTGTTTCTGTGACGGAGAGCGTGCAGCGACGTCGTCGTCGTCGTCGTCGTCGGCCCCTCCATTCCGCCATCCTGGTCCTTCCCTTCTGACGTCGAGACGTCACGCGACTACCAATTGTTTTCTAGAGGCGCCTAGGACGTCCAGCCGCCTCACTCGTCATTCCCTTCTGTCAGCTGAAGCTGGCTGAGAGTCGTTTGCCTAATGTGAATCGGCCTGTAACTAGGGGAATGCTGAACGCTCTCTACGAGAATACCAGCAGCCACCGGGACAAGGATTGGCAACTGGGTCGACGAGGCTGTTCTACGTTTCCGAGATTTCCATCCTCGGCCACGTAACGCAACACCACTCCATTATCATTTATACTCGATATTTTGACATTTCGATCGTAGCTGCTGCAGCCACATTCAGGTTGCTGCGTTCAGCCTATCAGATGGCGCGACTGTCTATTGTAGGTTGCAGCTGGAGCACGTCGTTCGCTACGTGCCTACGTCGTCACTGTCATACGAAGATCTCTCTGGCTTTCCTCCATCATTTTACCAGCGTGCCATCGAAGAAATTATATTTACGACAATTCTCGATGTATCGAGAGACTCGGTCGTGTCTCGCAGCAAGTTTTTCGTCGTTTTTACTAAAAAAGGTTACGTCCACTAATTTTCATACTCGTGCCTTCATAATTTCGGCAAAAGAATGAATTCATGGTCACAATCTTATTACTCGGCAGCAGGATCATCATACCTGCTCCGTCACGTGGGTTTCCCAATAAGGTAAATTCTCTATTGGAACATATGGAAGGATGGATGTATGGATAGTCGTATGGATAAATAAGAAGGGAAGAGGGCCAAATCCAAGTCGAAGAGGATGACTCAAGCCTCAAGGCTTCGTTCCGTTCCGTTCCGTTCGCTCGGTCGATGTTGGCCCGGTTTATCTTCGGCCGATCCCGAAATAATCTTAGATTCGGTCTCTTCTTCTCTTACTCCTGTCTCGACTCTCCGGCCCTCCCTTGCCCAGTACACTCGCTAACATGAGCCTCTACCGCCATCACACTCTGCTATATGTATCTCATCCAATTCGCTCCTTGTAGATTCCATATGAATATTTAAAATTTCCACCCATTCAAGTATCCGTAGTTCGAAATCTGTCTGATTCTTTGTTATATTATAATTTCTTGCGGGTATTAATGGTAAGTTGCCGGATCAGGGATAAAATTAATTATATCGATTGACAAAATATTATACTCACTTAAATCAGTACAGTCCAGAGATATTGATATGGATGTGAATGTATAAAAATTTCGATCGAATAGAAAAGCCAAGCAGCACGTGCTTTTAATCATATTCACTGCCAGGTGGATGAACTCATCGAAAATTCTTGGCTGTAAAGTAAATCGTTTCTTCGTTTTCCCGTGTCTTAGCTCAGACTTATCGATCTCGGGATTTTCTCAGGGCAGCTTTGAGTTTCTTTAGAGCCGACTGACCTTCGTCCACTTGGAAGTCGAGGTAATTTTTAAAACGATCCGTGTGCTACTTATAGTTAGTAGCACGTGATAAACAGTTTTTTCGATAGAATGTAACAAGTGAAATTAATTGGACGCGAATCAATCTGAAAGATCTATGGGCTTTATCGGTATTTCTGATTAGGTGTCGTTCATAGCTTTCGCTATTAAATTCGTAGTAAAACCTTAGACCCACTCGTCCAGCAGCTGTCCCTAGACTTCATAACATCCCGACTTCTCTGTAAATCCAATGTCAGCCGTTTCACCTAGTTCTCAGGCCACGAGACCAATAATTTCATATTTCTTTAAAAATGATGAACATCAATTGTTGAGCGCAGCCACAGACCATTTTTCTTTCATTTACAAAACCTACAAATTCGATGATTCGCCAACGGTCTATGGACGATATAATAAATTGTGAAAATGTGAAATACCTTTTTTCTAATTGATACAAGGACGAGATCATCACCGTGAAATTAATATAGCTGGCTGGGCTATGGCTCTTAGCCGTTAGTGCTAGTCCGTAAATTCTGGCCACCCGTTAGAATCCATTCCTGTCTCGTTCGAGTTAAAAATAATCAGCAATTATGCGCCCGATTTAAACGGCAGATTATATCTGCGCAGTTCCTAATAGCACCGGCAGTTCGATAAGTTCGATAGAAGCTGCTGATGATGCACTTTTGTTTTTCAGGCTGGTGCAACGGTGCACTAGAGCTGCAAGCCGTTGAAATTTCCGTTGGATCGGTTGTCCGATTGACCATCAGGATCTGACTCGTGGATTCACCTTTAGGCCAAATCCTATAGATATAAGACTTATGGCTTAATAATCATTTAGGACCGGCTGTGATAATGAGAACTCATTAAGCGAACATCTTAAGCGACATAACAACAAACATTCCTATCGCATCCGCCCGTGTCGGTATCTTTATTTATCAGGAGGTTGCGTAATCAATCTATTTTCGTGTATTCTCAATCTCGCATTGCTCGTCTATGGACCTCCATTAATTGCGGCTTCGTTCTCAAACGAGAAATTCCGCAAGAGTATATCCGGGATGTAAACATTTTTATTTCGATCGATGAAAATTTTGTCAAAAGAAAAAAGTGTTTCACGAAGAGCAAAAAAATCCTTTCGAAAGGCGGAATTCGAAAAGCAGCTGCAGTTCCTATGCGATTCCTTCGTTGCGTCTCGACTAATCGTCAGGGCGACGTTTTCCTTCTACAATGTTCGATAGAGGTCGTTAATGGCAGGTAGAAGATTTCCATGTAGTGGTACTGGTATTAATAGCCGAGCAAGGGGGTATTCCTGAGTAGGAGTCGATCGACAAGATAGTCACTTCGAAGAGGGAATGCAGTCTCGGTGACGCGTGCGACTAGCGCTACTCGCGCTACTCAGGGCCAAATGACTCAAGAGGCGAAATCATTAAGCCGCTGTAACTTACGATTCTGGCAGCTTCGACCGTTCGCCTTTGCATCTTTCAATTACGCCGATTCGTCATGTCCCAGCGCACCGAGATTAGTTGATCCTACCTGCGCCAAGTCCTGGACAACATCCAATACCCTGCTGTCATCCTCGCCGATTCCCTCTGGGAATCGAAACATCCCCAGGAATGCACAGCCGAGGAGCAGCTCTGCCAGAGGGAACAGAAGCCCTCTTGTTCCAATGCACATTAGAGGTCGGGGATTTCGAATAGGAATTTAGCTTTGGAGCTTGATTATTTTTGAGTTCACGTTCAGGATTTGGCTTCTCCATTGAGCCTTCTAGATCTGGAACATTGTACTCGTCGGGTGGATGACGCGACGCTGCTCTTGCGTTTACTTAAAGTAGAGGTCGGAGTAAATATTATTCGTCGAGTGCGAGAGCTTCGTGCTTGCTCGAATGGCCAAGGCTGCGCTCCTGCTGCTGCTGCTGCTGCTGCTGCTGCTTGCTGCCCATAGCGTTTACTGCCTCTACTTCTACCCATCTATAGATAGACGCATCCTTCTCTTCGCGTCAGAATCCCTCGAGATCAGTGAAGATGCTGTGCTCCTCCGGGTACTTACTAACGACCGCTGTAGGTAGCCATTATTAAAAAAGGCTGCCCGTGCACAGGCGTAGATACTGCTAGAATGAACTTTAGTTTACTACTATTTTGTCTCTGAACGTAGGGCTAATGTGAAAAATACATACCTGGCTAAGATTAGAAGTGGAACGTCACTCATCACGCATGAGAATATTCGATACAACGTTTAGAGGAATTTTAAATCCAAAGGAGCAAATAGTCCACGTGTCCATGACTGTCACGTGACTAAATTAGTGCGTCCGGCGATCGGATCAGTTCCGCAGCATCAAGGTCTCGGATGGTCCAACGCTGTATGCTAGAACTATTGACACTGGCTACATCTGGTCCAGCATTGTCTCAGCATCATCGGTCGCTGGATCGTATATTCTCTGATTGTCAGACAAGCTCACTGTAATGGTGCCAGAGTTTCTCTGACGTTCAGCGAATTTTCCAGCGTGATTCTCCGCACGTGTCTCACGACGGAGGAGCAGGGATACGTACACGTGGACTCAGAGAGAAGGGTGGGTAAATCGTGTAGTCCAACTCGCAGCGATGGTATGATGCATCTCTTTTTAAAAGATAAATACACCGTACGATTCTTGGAAGACTTCGGGGGCTCGATAGTCGCTGCCCCCTCAGGAAAACTCCATGTCCACTCTTCTTCCTGTGAAAGATCGTGAAATGGCTGGTCGGGAACGTCGGAAAGTTGTCGTGAAATTTTAAGGCTAGAGGAACGGTAAGACTTTGACGTTACCACGGTGTCACCCTTAAGGGGGGCTCTGGTACCCCGGTATCAGCCAATTCCCGTTGAGCTCCGACGCGCCGCCTGAATATTGGATGGTCCATCTCACTCTGCTTCTATTTTCATCTCTCTTCAAACGCGCGGCGTTCAGAGCTTTCCGCGGCACCCCTGTCACACTTTTGGTATCATCTCCACCTAAAAAGGTAGATTGGGCTAGGAAGTAACGTAGGCTCGGATTGGTCGAGAGCGTCAACCAATCGAGTTGGACGTACCAAGCTAGGATCACGTTGCACGCGCTTATATTGGGAGCCTCCGCTTGTTTCCCTGACAGAACGGCTCTCTAACGTAAGTGCACCACGTCGGTTTCTCCTTTGCCTTACCCACACAGACGCACATCTACACACCTATTAAAGTGAAAAAAAAAGAAATTCATAAGCTTGATACACATTATTACGGATTAACGTGTTACGGACATAACCAAAAGACAGGTTAACTTTACAACTCTGACGAAACTCCAGCTACTAACACGAAGTTACCATACGGCAGAGAGAAGCGAGCGATAGCTTGGAAAAGTGAGAATGCGAGAGAGAATGTTTGTAAGAGAGCGAACGATAATAAAGAGAGATCGAAAGAGTGAGAAAGAGAATGAGGGGTTATAGGAAAGGAAAATGAGAAAGGAAACACAAAGTGCGAGAGTGACTACAGGAAAAAGGATTCCGCATGCGGCTCGTTTGGATTTGTTCGCCGAAGTTCTCGGGTGTGAATTACGCGAGGAAACGTACATCGCGAAAAAAGTGCGTGCCGGATACGGAAAATCGCATTTAAATGCGAATGCGGGCTGCCAGTGTGCGCGATCGCTTCTTCGACCATCGTGAAAGCAACCCTTATCGTATAGCTAAGGGACGGTTTACATTACTGTGTGTGCTATTCTCTTTGTGAAATCGAAACGGAAACGAACGTCGAACAGTGATCTTCCTGATTGACCGGCCTCAGTGTACTCGGCGAATACTCGCGAGTAACATTCGATACTTGTCGGAAATACTTGGTGAACCTTTAACCTGTTGAGTCCCGATTTCCTGTAACAGTCAGCTGTGCCCAGTGATATAAATTTTCATTACGCGAACGCATTGCTGTTAGAATTTATTCTGAATCACGAGAGGCTCAGCGCATCCACGTTTTATAGCTCGCTAGATCCTCTTGTGAGAAGAAGTATCTTCTGAAAATTCGTTATGGACATTCAGAATATTTCAAATCATGTCGAATCGGCTTTGCTGTGAATTCAATTCATTGCGCACCGTTAAATTATCATTGCGCATGACTCTTGCATGGATTACGCGTAATGACGCCATCTTTCGTTACAGTTTCATAATAGCATTTCCTGACCGCCCGTGATCAATCCTAACCTTCCTCTTTTCAACTTCTTTTTTTTTTGACAGACTTTTAATTCGATACGAAATCTTCAGGAAATTGATTCGTCGTTTAAATAGATTTTTTCATTCTCAATAAAACTTCGTAAATAATAATTTCGTAATACGAAACACGTAAAAGAATTGCTGGGACGGAAAGATCTTGCAGGAGGAACATGCAATAGACGTTCGGTTCGAGGTGGAAGAAGAAGCTTCTGTCTTTTCGATGTTCGCCAAGAATAGTCCGCGATAACTGAGTCGAGTGTGTAGAGTAGAGAAGATGATTGGTTGATTTAGCTGGGATCTTGAAGTATGAGTGCATTGGGGCCGAGGCAGAAAATGTGTGGAAGGGATAGCGGGGGGAGCTATAAAATAATATACAAAATATACGTAGTTAGGTGTGTGCATGCGTGTGGTAGATAAGAAATGCTATAGGTTATGTATCGAATACACGTATTGAAGGGGGTGTATATGATATGTGTCTAGGGCCGCCCAGATCGTGCCGCCAGAAGTAGTCCGTCCGCCGCCGCTTGCCAAACACGTACGAAACTGACGACTGCTTAGCTCCAAGTAGAGAAGACAGGGACACTCACTAGAACAAGATGCCGAAGCCGAAGCCTCAAGAGGGAGAGGATCCCGATCCCACCCCATACCTCTTCGTGTCCCTCGAGCAGAAGAGAATCGACCAGACCAAGCCGTACGATGCGAAAAAGGCTTGCTGGGTACCCGACGAGAAGGAGGGATACCTCCTTGGTGAAATCAAGGCCACCAAGGGTGATGTCGTCTCCGTTGGTCTGCCTGGCGGCGAGGTGTGTATCAATCGAATTCATCATCCAAATATCCAAATTCATCTCTCACTCATTTACCTGTCATTTAATAATTTACAGTCCGTTCTTCTAACCTAAAATTCACAATGAAAAAAAAGAATTGAAACATTTACCGAAAGAAACTAAAGAGGATTGAAATATCTAAAATATCGAAAAATCATTGTAAAAAAATAGAGGTTTGCAAAAAAGTTGGTGAAAATTTAAAAACATGTAATAGAATCTGTTCGCATGATAGAAATAAGGTAGCCGCAGACGGAATCGCGGCGGAAGGGGGGAGGGGGCAACGCGTTCCGGCCGATGGGCAAGAGCGAAGAAAAGGGTAAAGCGAAACGCTATATATAAAAAGTAGAAGGGACTGGAAAGGAAGGCGTTGAAGCATCGAGGCGTCGGCGTGGTCGTCGTTGGCGTCGCCGTATCGGGCGGCCGCAACGCTATTTCAAGAACAGAATAGCGCTAGCGCGGTTAGAGCCCGCGCTGACCATACCAAGAATAAGCCGAAAGCGATTCCCAGTAGGAGCCAAAACTCTTTGGGTATTGGCTTACGGATCGGATCCTGAAACAGATGAAACAGCAGGGATGAAATCGCTATGTCAATTTGAATGGGAATTTGAGAAAACTTTGAGGGTGCTATGGTTGGTCCAAGTGGGGGGGATACGTGCGTGGGAAGGGGGCGGTGATGCCGCGAAGGGGGGTAGAACGCTCGCGGTTGTCGTTATTTTTAGTCAGAGCCCAAATTCCGGAGTAGCAATTGCGAACGTGTGTATGGGTTACATAATGGTTCAGCAAACTCTGTTCCGCCGATGCTAAACGCTATTGTTAGAATGCCGCCATTACGACGGGACACTAGACTCTCTCTCATTCGTAGCTTCGCTCACTCGTTCCGGACCACTTCACGCGGTGTAATAATACATCGAAACGGTTACTGGTCGAATTGCGGGTCAATTTATTTTTAGTTCGTGTCCAAGAGACACCGGATACCCAGAAGCCCTTATGCAACGACCCTCATTTCGAAATGACTGCCCTTTGCATCTTTCCAGGGATCTTACGTTTTCTCGTCCTTTGGCAATTTCGGATTAAGAATTCAATGGGATTTTGTTTTATCCATCGTCATGGTCACGTGGTGCGGCACAGGACCGTGCTTGGAATTTTATTGACATTCATATAGAAATATAGACAGCAGTAGGTTTACAGACTAGTCAATATTAAAGTAAAAAACGTCAAGGGCAATGCATTAAGCGCTGAATCGGATAAAGGTGCTCTTTGGTAGATAATGGTATAATAAAAAAAAAAAAAAAAAAGAATTAGAGTAGAAATGACGTAAAAATGCAAAAACACAGACCAAGCAGTTCCGCAAGGATCAGCTGCAACAAGTGAATCCGCCGAAATTTGAGAAAGTCGATGACATAGCCAACCTGACCTTCCTCAACGAGGCCTCCGTACTGCACAACCTGAAGCAGCGTTACTTCAGCAAACTCATTTACGTAAGTCTCAGATAATAGATCTTACTAATGTCTCTTCCTTTTTTTTTATTCCCGCGGAGAACAGACCAAGGACTTCAAGAAGGACCAGCTGCAGCAGGTGAACCCACCGAAGTACGAGAAATGCGAGGACATGTCCAACTTGACCTACCTCAACGATGCTTCAGTCCTGCACAACTTGAAGCAGCGTTACTACACCAAGCTGATCTACGTAAGACCGTGCGCGGGCATCGAAGCTCCCGTTACTGCTGCTGCAACGCCGTGTTTCTGTTTTCTTTTTTACTTTCGATAATAAGCATCGTCACTTGCCCTCGACGACTCCTTTCGGAACGTCCGACAAACCACTATACGTGTCAGGATGCATCCTTCGCCGTACTCCCGCTCCACTTGCAACAGTGGTGAATTTCGAGAAATGTGCAATCATTCAAAAATTTTGAATCTGGATAAAAATCCTTTCACAGTAAGAAATAAATTTTGAAAAAGTTTTAAAGAAATAGTTCTCGTGGATCAGGGGTGCGAAACGAACTCTGGCGTTGATCCAGAAGGATACTTCGAGGTTTCGAAGATTCCAGCATGTATGTATCTGAGGACGGGAGAATCCGGGAAAAGATTAGAGCATGCCAAGAGGCTCGGTCGAAAGCACCAAGACGTGCCCGCAACCGAAACTTTTCTGTTTCTCAATGTTTCTTTCAGCTGCAACCAATAGCGAAATGACGAGGAGGTTTTGGAACGACAGACTTGCTCCACTCCTCTGTGACTACTTTATGTTATGTGCCAATTTTTTTTTGTCTCTTACCCATAATTTCACTTTTACGTTTTCTTTTTTTCTCTTTTTTTTTCCGCACTAATAAAATGAAAAAGCAGCACGAGTCAGACGCGCAGGGAGAACGCGATGACGAATGTTCTTATGAACACAGCATACTTCCGTCATGAATGATTGTCAGTTTGCATCGATTTTAATGCCCTTTGTTAAGCGAGTGTGCTGTTACTTTGTGTTTCTCGGCGAATTCTCTGGATTCCGTTTTGTGCAAATTTTAAAAGAAAAAAAGAATTTGGTCGGTGTTAAAAGTAATTCAAGTGCATCCGGGAGAATTCGCTGGGAATTCTGTGTCTTCAGAATGGAGCGCAGGCATCCAGCGGACTGGTCATGAGCTACGCAAAAAAAAAAATAGACGGCGTGATTTTAATTGTCAATGTGTTAACGAGTGAAAGTACAAGGGAGACAAATTAACAACGAATAATAATGTTCTCTAGACCTATTCTGGCCTGTTCTGTGTGGCCATCAATCCTTACAAGAGGTACCCCGTCTACACCCAACGTTGTGCCAAGCTCTACCGTGGTAAGAGGCGTAACGAAGTGCCACCTCACATTTTCGCCATCTCTGACGGAGCCTACGTCAACATGTTGACCAGTGAGTATCGCTAGGCCCATAACAACCGAAGACCACCCCACCAACTGTATTGTTAGTCTCCCGGAAAGACATTCGCCCGACTGATGATGATTTCTGATCTGTGCAGACAGCGAGAATCAGTCTATGTTGATTACCGGTGAATCTGGTGCCGGAAAGACTGAGAACACGAAGAAGGTAATTGCGTACTTCGCCACTGTCGGTGCCTCGACGAAGAAGGTCGACGAAGCTTCCCAGAAGAAGGGTTCCCTCGAGGATCAGGTCGTCCAGACCAATCCTGTACTTGAGGCTTTCGGTAACGCTAAGACCGTCCGTAACGATAACTCCTCCCGTTTCGTAAGTGACTCATTACTTAATGACATTCGAAGTTTTCTTCCACCACCGATACTTATCCTCAATTGTATCTATCCAGGGTAAATTCATTCGTATCCACTTTGGTCCATCTGGAAAACTGGCTGGTGCTGATATCGAGACCTGTAAGTATTCTCTCTGACAGATGTTGAAGGCACTTTAAGAGAACGACGATCCTACGAATAACAATACTTCTTCTGTGCAGACCTTCTGGAGAAGGCTCGTGTAATCTCTCAGCAGTCCCTTGAGCGTTCCTACCACATCTTCTACCAAATGATGTCCGGAGCTGTTCCCGGCTTGAAGGGTAAGATTCACGCAATCCCCCCAATGATTCAAACAATATCAAACAATCAATTTGAAACGTTCAACTTAAATATCAAACGTCGCGACCTTTGCCGAACATCGGGACTCCACTGAAATCACACACACAGCAGGTTTCCAACCTTCGTTTCTGGTCCCAAACCGTATTGCCCTTGTCGTCTCCTATACATCCCTTAGCTGTAGTAAGTCATTTAGGAAATGAAAGGTAGCACCTTGGAAGACTGCAGCCGGATGCTCCACGAGACAAGGACACTATGATCAATGAGCTTATTCCAATCGAAGCGGCTCTCCGTAAGACTCCTAATTATACTATTTGAAATCCTCCTTTCATAGAAATTTGCTGTCTTTCGAACAACGTCAACGACTACTACTTCGTCTCCCAGGGAAAGACTACTATCCCCGGTGTCGATGACGGCGAGGAATGCCTTTTGACCGACGTAAGGACACTAAGGACTAGCAATCGGTCGCTAAGGAGTTTTTCTGACTCCTGTTCACGTGTTTATATTTTCATTACCCCACGCTGTGTCGTTTTCATCGTGTAGTGTGCAAAAGAGTAATAACGTGGAGGGGAACGCGTCGGGAAGTCCACTTGGTCCTTCGGTCTTTTTTGATCATCATCATCATCATTGTGATCCGCTTCCTAACGTAATTTCGTGACTAGAACGGAGCACACTGGACTTCCACGAGACACGAGCAATTCGCACGCGTTCCCTGCAACGTTTCTCTATTTAGATGTTAGTTGTGTAGATTCCAGACACGATCCTCCAGAACGCACTGTGAGGCATCCACAAGGAGCACGTCCATGACTGCTGCTGCCATCTTGGAAAGCAGGATTACAATCCTGTTCAGTTTTTTCTTTCTATAAATTTGCGCGTGTGTGTGACAAAATCCCATCCGACAAGGGATAGTTTTCCGTTTGTTCGTTACGTACCTTCCATACGCTACCTACGTATGTGTACATGTATATATTGTTCCCCCGAAGAAAATACGGTCTTTGGCCTACGGGATGGGTGACTCCATCTCGCATAGTCCCATTGTATTATATATATCCACGTATATAATACATAAACCCAACAGAACCTTGATAAAAACCATAAGGAAAAATGGTGATACTTGGTTCATGGTTTGCCTGCATGTTTTATTGCCTATACAGACATGTTGCTGCTGTCCAACAACGTTCACGACTACTACTTTGTATCGCAAGGCAAAACTACGATTCCCGGCCTCGATGACGGCGAGGAACTTTTGGTTACCGATGTAAGTGCATGACCACCTTAATGTGCTCATCTCTTTTCATTTTTACTTTCTCTTTCTCTCTTTCTCCCCCTTTCACGTCGACTCTTGAGAATCTCGTGTCTCCGTCGGGATGCCGCCTGCAGTGTGATTATTCTCAGGAAGATTCGTTCGTGCAATTTCGACCGATAGTTTTCCACGAGAAGGGAAAGAGAAAGAAAAAGGAAAAAAAAATGTTGAGCTCATTTGTCTTGACGACTCTTGTCAAGACGCCAATTGTTTTCTCGCTATGCTCCATATCATAATTTTTTTCTGCATTTAAATGTATGTATATATCTATGTTTTTGCCACTTCTCTGCCTCTCACTTGACTTTCTTCTCTTCTACTTGTCTATACTTTTCAGCTCTGCTCTACGCTGCCACTCTTCTCTTCTCATTCCATCTGATCATCTTTCTAGCATTTGTTACACGTAGATCACAGGAGGTCTACTTCATCTACTTGACTATCGATCTGTTAATGTCTCAACTCTTACACTATTCTCAACGTCATCACCATTATTTCAGCTTCCTCTACTTCTCTACCTCTCTATCTGCGCAATTTCTTTACTTTTGCTATCTACGTCTAATAATCTATAATCTGTGCCTCTTCCCCTCTACGGCCGTATATCGACCTGTTGATACTCTTGAAAATGTCACTAATAATTAGCCCGTAGCCCGTAGCCCTGCATATTCGCATATATTCGGCAAAGAAGTAGCTAACGGAAGTGTTGCGTGTGCGAGCTGAGGTTGATGTTGACCCCATAAAAATCGAACGCAGAAATGACCCTGTTGAGCAACCGGATCGGCGACTACTACTACATTAGTCAGGGTAAGACGAGAATTCCGGGAGTCAACGACGCGGAGGACTTGGAAGAGACGGATGTAAGTCCCCCGGAAGCGAATGGGGGCCTGAATCTCTGAGCTACGTACCAGTGTCTTATCGATGATAGTCTCCGTATCGATTCTTTCTAAAATCGATCGATAAGGGGGTACGAAGTTCAGGGTCTGCCCCTAAGAATCTCTGCCCCCCAAAACGCTGTGCAGCTTCCTGTTGCCGCTCTCGCGAGGGGGTTGGGGGGCAGAGGATTCATCATCGGGCCGGGAGTCGAAGGGTGACGAAGGACCCAGATACCCCGACGAATCCGCTACCCCTCCGCCAGCTCCACCAGCTCCACCAGCCACCCCTGTCGAATTCCTTTTTCCGCACGCGGCTCAAATCTTCATCCCATGTACCGTTTTACTGCGTTACACACTATGTCACATCCACATGCATTGCCGCGCGACAACGAACGGATCATTAATCTTTAATACTCCTCATTGACATGATTGCCAATTGTACGATGATTGCCAGCTGCCTGATGACTTAACGAATCGAAATCATTCGCAGCCAATTGTTTCTTGTCGGACAACATATACGACTATTACAACGTATCCCAGGGAAAGGTGACGATCCCCAACGTCGACGACGGCGAGGAGAGTCAACTGACGGACGTAAGTCCCTTTAACTCCTGCGGAGGAACGAAAACCAAGGAATTTGTGTCCTAAAATTTGAAAGATCTACTTTTCACTTTTAGCCCCTTTGCCTCCCTTTGACGTTCCGCATCTCAGGTCCTTTGGTTCGATGAAACTCGAGGACACTTCCGTTACCACCATTTCTCCTAATGGGAGTGTCAATTACTCCGAAACTGAGTACTCTCCCAGTTCGAATGACGTTCCCCAGAGTTACGTGATCCTTGAGGACATCCGAATCCCAGTATTCTAACACTGTTGTATAGTTGAGTCGAGTCCCAGTATATTGATATCTGAAAATCGAGACGCCAGACTCGATTGATTCCGGTAGTCAGAGTGAACCCGTGTACTCGATCCCAAGTTCCATCGTAGTCACTGAATGCCTCTTGATTATATTCCCACTGACGATGTCGATCAGCGCGAAGGCGAGGGACGCCTTGAGCGTCCGCGAGGAAACTTCCGGGACGGCAGACACGGACACACTGCCGTTACTCTTTACCTTGAGAGAAAAAGGGAAGCCCGCGAAGAAGTTGACGCAGGGCGAGTTAGACGAAACGAGTATACGAAAGAGACATGTAAAATGCTAAATGCTAATAAATCCTGGCCGATCAGGTGAGGAAGATGCGTGCAAAGAAGAGCTCAGGGAAGAAGCGGCTACCTAACATTAGCTATGCTTCTGCTTCGCTCTGTGTCTTCTCTGCTTACAAAGAGCTACGACGCTTTCATCGTGCACTTTTTTTTTTGTATATATTTTTTTTCGTCTCGCACATATTTCTGTGCTCCACGTGATCTGCCTCTCTGCATTGTATCGTCCCGTCCTGTTTTGCGTGCTTCCGTTGACTGTTTTAAAAATCATGCCTCTATCAAATCTAAAGACGGCGACAACGACCGAGGCAAGCTCTTTCATCAGGCTTGGTTCGATCGTTCTTGCCGATAAAGACTCCCTGGAACTGGAAGCTTGAGATTAATCTTTTGATTTCTTTGATTGCCGATGTAGCAAGCCTTCGACGTCCTCGGTTTCACCCAGGAGGAGAAGGACAACATCTACAAGATCACTGCCGCTGTCATGCACATGGGAGGCATGAAGTTCAAGCAGAGGGGTCGCGAAGAGCAGGCTGAGGCTGACGGCACTGAGGTTCGTTCGGGACGACGTTACTTCGTGACTCCAAAAATTTGTGACATTTCAGTAAAGACAATATATGGAATCTCCCTGTACTTGTAGGAGGGTGAACGCGTAGCCAAGTTGCTGGGCTGCGATTGCGCCGATCTGTACAAGAACTTGCTCAAGCCCAGGATCAAGGTCGGTAACGAGTTCGTGACCCAGGGTCGTAACAAGGACCAGGTTGCCTATTCCGTCGGTGCCATGTCCAAGGCCATGTTCGACAGACTCTTCAAGTGGCTGGTCAAGAAGTGTAACGAGACTCTTGACACCAAGCAGAAACGTCAGCACTTCATCGGTGTACTGGATATTGCCGGTTTCGAAATCTTTGACGTAAGTTCACCAGACTTCGAAAATTGGAAAATTTCCCAACTCAATTCTCGTTCTCAAAATTTAGTCCATCGTAGAACGATACTCTCATTGACTATAGGAACGGGATTGACCTGGGAATTCCAATGAAGTTATTACCAGGAGATCACACCGGAGGCAGAAGTGAAAGAAGTGAAAAATATTTTTAAAATTGAAAAGCGTCGATCGAATTTCATCGTAGCTCGTCGACGGTCTGATCTCCGTTTCTTAATAGTTTTTCCCGAGACAGGTATTTCCCAAAAATGTGGAAGCAGGCGAATTTCGAGATTGAACTAATGAAATCTTAAGCCCCATTCACAGTTGACCCTGACTTTCGTTGCCCCCAGTACAACGGCTTCGAGCAGCTCTGTATCAACTTCACCAATGAGAAACTTCAGCAATTCTTCAATCATCATATGTTTGTCCTCGAGCAAGAGGAATACAAGAAAGAGGGCATCGTTTGGCAGTTCATTGATTTCGGAATGGACTTGCTAGCCTGTATCGAGCTCATCGAAAAGGTAGCCCCATCTTCAGGCTGCGAGACGATCCGAAACTATTTTCGGCTCTTCACCCGTATCTCTCGATCGACCTCGACTTATCTGGCACCCCTTGCATTGTGATCCGATTGACTCCAGTAGACACTCTCGTGTTTGGGCATGATGGACGTTTTACCGAATTCTCCCTGGTTTTTCAACCCCAAGATGGCACCCCCGACGGGACACTTTATCCCCGATTTAATCTCGGTTTGACACCCCTCTCCCATCGTAGCCCTCAATCGGAGATCTGGCAGACCGCGCGCAGTCGCCATCTTTCAAGTACATGCCGTACTTATGATGCACTCAGGCCCAACGATACATCGAGTACTCCAGTCATTTCGCTTCTCATCACGAATCGAACGCTTGAACAGGTTCGAACATTATCCCCTTGTTGTGTCCCTTTACTTTACTGGTACTTGAATCCCATCGAACGATCAAACAGGTTCGATTGTCTCTCTTTCAAATGGCAAAACACGAAAACTTGTGTCTCCGCCTATCGTTCCATCTCAATCATGTTCAGTGATCAGCTGAGCACTCACAATTGTTCCTTCTATTTTCGGTTCTTTTTTTTTTTCTTTTTTTTTTAATTTTCTCACGTGGGCAAACCATTTCGGAATATATGTCGTAGAACAGTGGACTTCGCGGTGCTGAGTATTCTTAATTCTAGGTGTACCTTACAGCCTTTACTACTTTGACAAGTTGACTGTCGAAGGACCAGGACACTGGCTCCTCGTAGAGAGTAGGAAGCTTCTCATTCGTCCTTCCCTCACAATCGTAGAGTAGTACGATGGTAGACTAATCTCTAGATATTTCTTAATTAAACAATGTCATCTTGAAAACTGGATTCCCAGTGATAACGGTAGAATCGGCACAATGTTGCTGATCCTGAGAAACTTGATAAAAGGTCAATGTGGATTTTTGAGAATGGTGGACCCAACTGGCGCTAAAGCATACGGTACGCCATTGCCGATGGTGTGGTTACGTGATACGTAATACGTAGAACTAAGAGTCTGGCGATAAACAGTAATATAGAGCAACTGTCTTGCCTTTGCTCGAACAGTTCAACAGCTTCGAGCAGCTCTGCATCAACTTCACCAATGAGAAGCTTCAACAGTTCTTCAACCATCACATGTTCGTCCTCGAACAAGAAGAGTACACGAGAGAGGGCATTGAATGGGCGTTCATTGACTTTGGCATGGACCTGCTCGCATGTATCGAACTCATTGAGAAGGTATAAAACCTACGGCGCAATGGAGTCGGCGCTTTGCGGAAGGAACATCCGGTTTACGAAAGGAATGAAAATCTAAATGGCAGCCACGGCTTCGGCACGAGCGATTTAACGCTTAAACGTGATCGTCCACTGTTTCTGTACGTTTTCTCTCTACCGCCATTCGTTCGCCCGTTCTCGCGGCATTTCTTTTTTCTTTTTTATTTCTTCTCTCTCTCTCTCTCTCTCTCTCTCTCTCTCTCTCCACACAGATCCCTCTGTTCTCTTGTTTCGTCATCTTCATACTTTGTCTTTATTGTCGCCTTCGTTTTTATTTCTTTTTCTCGTGTGGGTAGTTACCGCTTTTCTACAAAGTTGTTCGTCGCACCCCTTTTATTTCCGGTCAATCCACGAACACTCCTTTTTTTCTTCTCTTTTCTTCGCAATCTTTTTGTAGCTCCTTTCACGTAGAGATTATGTTTCTTTATTATTTTGTCTTTATTCCTCGCGTGCCGATCGTTCCAATCGGACGGCATCTTTCTTCATCTTTTCCCCTCTATGTCTCCTCCGACACACTGGCAGCACTGCACAGAGTCACCGTCACTTCTTACTTCATTCATGTTGCTGAAACTCCCTTGTCTTGCCCCCTGGCATGAACCCGACTTGACTCCCGGTTTGCCTTTGCTCAAACAGTTCAACGGCTTTGAGCAGCTCTGCATCAACTTCACCAACGAGAAGTTGCAGCAGTTCTTCAACCATCACATGTTCGTACTTGAACAAGAGGAGTACAAGAGGGAGGGCATTGAGTGGGCGTTCATTGACTTCGGCATGGACTTGGCCGCTTGTATCGAACTTATCGAGAAGGTACATTTAAGCTAGAGCATCTTGGTCAGAGTCGGCCGACCTGCGGAATGCCGAGCGAGCCGAGTAGTTGCTGAAGGAGTTTGCAGTTTGGATTGCATTTTGTACAAATGGCATCAAGGTACAGATACGGGTACCCTTCCGAAGGTGGTTCTTTACGTACCTTGAGAAACCTCTTCTGTCTTCTGTCTTCTGCCTTCTGTCTTCTGTCTTTTGTCTTTTTCTTCGACCCTTCTTCTTTTCTACTTCTTTACTTTCGCTACTCCCGCCCTTGCGTCTCTGCTCATGACAACGGCGCACAGGATCGTGGCCGTCGCATCACCTCCTCCATTTTACCAGTCGAACAGTTGGTACCACTGCTGCAAATACATTAACCCCTTGAACTTTGCTCATCATCACTTCCACGATACTGAGGTGACACACGAGCAACTTTTCACTGTTCACGCTAATCAATTGGAGTTGGAATAACTTGCAATTGACAGGCACAAGTACACCGACCCAAGTAGATCCAGCTAATAGCATCGTTCAAAGTTTAAAGGCACAAAAAAGTGTCGAGTACTGTCCCCCCGTAGACCCTCCCAAAAAAAGACACCCCGGACCATGGCACCTCCTTATCCGCGGAAACCCATCGTCCGGGCTTCACAGCATCCGAAAACATTGACTCCCTCCCGTTCACGGCATGAAGCAGTAAGTCTGACCGCTGTTTTGCCTTTTCTGTCCCGCACGAACAGTTCAACAGCTTTGAGCAGCTCTGCATCAACTTCACCAACGAGAAGTTGCAACAGTTCTTCAACCACCATATGTTCATCCTTGAGCAAGAAGAGTACAAGCGCGAGGGCATTGAATGGACATTCATTGACTTTGGAATGGACCTTCAACAAACTATTGAACTTATTGAGAAGGTACTAAAGGGAATCGATGAGAAACAGCCACGAAGCGGCTCGTCGTTTACTCCGGATGTACCATACGCGCAAAAGCATGTTTCGACTTATGACAGAATCGTGTTTCATGTTGGCGTAACTAACAAATCACTTTTAGGATCCACCTCACCACCGTTCTCTACTGCCCCTTCTCTCTCTCTCTCTCTCTCTCTTTTTCTCTTTCTCTCTCTCTTTCTCTCGTGTTTTATCCACTCTACTGTCGTGGAGTCGAACGCAAGAGTCTCCCAGGACGACGGTTGTCGCACCAGCGAACAATGTCTGTGCTGAGATTCTCTTGACGGGCGGCTCGCCAAGGTATCCAGAGACAATGCCTGATGCGACAGGAAGCAGCATCCTCATGGCCACCGCGTGATCTCAACCAACCGGACAGATGGAAAAAGCGGAAACGAAGGAGTCTGTCAATGATCCCTTAACCCTTATGTGTTTTGTGTGTCTGTTTGCATCCTCTGTCTCTGCCACCGGGACTTGCCTGCGCGCCCCTGTCAATCGCAAATGACAGTTCAACAGCTTCAATCAGCTGTGCATCAACTTTACGAACGAGAAGCTGCAGCAGTACTTCAATCACTTCATGTTCGTCCTCGAGCAGGAGGAGTACGAAAGGGAGGGTATCACTTGGACTTTTATAGATTTCGGTATGGATTTGCAACCGACCATCGATCTCATCGAGAAGGTAACGCTTCGACGCTAATTAACGCCAGCACGACGTGTGATCAGACCAAAAGTAACCGAGCAACTTTGCCAGCTTGCGTATGTGCTCTCCGTATGTTTATATGTATCTGTTAATTAGATGTATAGTTAATTTCTCACGTAAAAAGTTGTTTAATTATCTTGCCAGTTGAGCCGTAGGTATCGCGAGTGAACAAGTAAAGAGAGTAGCGTTCGTTTGTATTTTATATCATTTTGTTTTTCTTATATTTTTTTTTTTATCCTTTGCTGATAACACGTAATCGTACGTGATAAAAAGAAAATAATTTCTAACCGTTGGAGAATTTTTATTGGATTGACTTAGTCTCTCCGTTCGTGTCATTTTCAGCGAGATAACGGTAGAACTATTTTTTGGAATCGTCGAATAACTCGAAGTAGATAAATCACTTTTGCTGCTTCCAGTAAGCGACGAGGCACCTAACATCGCCAGTAATTTTCATTATTCCAAACGCGTAGTAATTTTGCAGTATCTTCGTCACGTGGAATACAGATTCCATTCGTCGGGAAAATGAGTAGAAATCAAAATAAAAAATAATGCCGAGAACCTACTCAAAAGATTCGTTCAGGCAAATAAGTTTCGAGGATAAAACATTGAAACTGACCCAGGCTCTTTTGTCCCTTTCTCTAGCCCATGGGTATCCTCTCCATCCTTGAGGAAGAGTCTATGTTCCCCAAAGCCACGGACAAGACCTTTGAGGAGAAATTGAACAACAACCATCTTGGCAAGAGTCCCAACTTCTTGAAGCCCAAGCCACCGAAGCCTGGTCAGCAACCTGCCCACTTCGCCATTGGCCATTATGCCGGCAACGTAAGTCTGCTTCCAGCCACAGACCTTTCTTCTCCAGGTTTGCAGAGCACTGCTAAATTAAAGTTCTCGTGGCAATACAGGTACCTTACAACATCACTGGCTGGCTCGAGAAGAACAAGGACCCGTTGAACGACACCGTTGTCGATCAGTTCAAGAAGTCCACGAACAAATTGCTGATCGAGATCTTCGCTGATCATCCCGGTCAGTCCGGTGACGCCGGTGGTGGTGGCGGCGGCAAAGGTGGACGCGGTAAGAAGGGCGGTGGCTTCTCCACCGTGTCTTCCTCCTACAGGGAGCAGCTGAACAACCTCATGACCACTCTGAGGGCCACTCAGCCTCACTTCGTTCGTTGTATCATCCCCAACGAATTGAAGCAGCCTGGAGTGATTGACTCCCACTTGGTGATGCACCAGCTCACCTGTAACGGTGTACTTGAAGGCATCCGTATTTGCCGTAAAGGTTTCCCCAACAGGATGGTCTACCCTGACTTCAAGCTTCGGTGAGACATTACTCTATGGGATAGGATACGAAACAGATTCATAAGTCACTATGCCTTAGGGATTAGCAAATTAGATTCTTACAGGAAACTATACTTTGGGGAAAGATGATCTTTTTTTTTTAATAAGATGACAGTTTACGTGTAAAATTATATAGACGAGTAATTGAATTCTGGGAAATAGTTACATGATCTTGGCACCTGCCATCATGACTGCCGAAAAGGATCCGAAAGTAGGAGCGGCCAAATGTTTCGAATCGATCAATCTCGATCCAGACAGCTACAGGATCGGTCACACCAAGGCTAGTTGAAATTTATCGCACAGCATCCCCCATTTTGAAGAGATTTAATTTGTCCCACCCCCCCCCCTTCGTAGCAATGGAAAGTTTAGAACCACTGAATGATTATCCGTATCGTCCAAACTTTCATGAAATCCAAGAGTGACCCAAACGATAGATATACCCGGATTGCCCCGCACATTAAGATTCCACAGAGGATGTTCATTATTTGCTGTGGCCCCATAGGATTTTAATAAATACCAGCGAAACTAAATTTTTATCCGAATGCAATTGAGCCCTCCAGCGCCCCATGGAATTACGTGCACGTCTAGTGAGCCCCTTGCACAAACCCCAAAACCCATTAGTGATGTAGTCCCGAATCGATCATCCAATCAGAAATATTGATAGAATCACGGAAGCAGTGTAGCTGAGCAGACCGCATGGATATGAGGAAGGGACTATCGTTGAATCTGTCCAGGAGAAATCATGAGTCATAAATGACAAATCATACGTTCCACTTACCCAGCACAATCTGTAGAAACCCTTTGACTAATGAATCGACCACCGTTTTTTCTTTCTTTGCGCGTGACCCCGACCTTTAGGTACAAGATCCTGGCACCCCAGGCCGTCGACAAGTGTGCTGCCGACCCGAAGAAGGCTGCCGAGGCTATCTTGGACGCTGCTGGCCTTGAAGCTGATCAATACCGTCTTGGACACACCAAGGCATGTCCTCCCATTACATGAGTCCTTTTCAGGATCTCAGGATTTCACTGTATAAGCCGTGTTCCTGAAAATTGCAACGTCTTTCGTTTGGCAGTGTTTACCCGATTTAACAAATTTTCATCACTCGTTACTGTTGGCAGCCAATAAAGACGGCGCACCGCTCAGCGACGGAATACCTATTGCTCTTGAGTCTATATAGGGTGTCCCCGAATGACGGTGGTGACCCCGAGATAATATAGAGTAACCCTAAATGCCCCCATTGATACCATCTGTCTGTATCAATCCTGTACATAACCAAGTGTGCTTATTTCTTTCTTCTTTTTTATTTTTACAAAACAACACAGATACAAAATTCTGTGCACCCATCTTATCAAAGAGCCATGCGAACCACAAAAGGCGACACAAATCATCCTCGACGCAATCAATCTGGAATCCGACCAGTACCGCATGGGTCACACCAAGGTATCAGACACCTTCGGCTCTGCGAACTGCCTAACTGAACTTTGGATAGAGTCGGATCCCAAACCCCAATCCTGTATTCACTCACCACCTGTGACCACCTGACACCACACCAGTGGAATCATGGAATTTGATCCATGACTGGACTAACCATAATAACTCTTTACTGCGAATTGCGAATTGTTTGAGCGAGCCTAGCCCTGTACTGAGAACTCAGAGTCGGCCAGGTACTCGCGAACGCTGAAGAAACTAACACGAAGACGCTTCAAAGGTTCCAACTTCTTTGCTAATAACATGATAATAAATAGCATACATGCATTTATGTATTATTCAAGCACTTGGCGTGAATACTAAATCACTTACCTTCTTTCTGCAGCTTCCATCCCAGAAATATTCTTCGAAGTGCGCAATCTCATTCTCTTTCTTAGAGGAACTCTCGAAAGGATCAAACGATCCTCGGTGATTTATCGAGCAAGATCCATCTGCTGTTCTGGGATGAAAGCTTCTTTGGAGCCTCAGCTTAATTCCTAATTGCTACTTCGAATTCAGTAACCGATGACGCTTCTCCTCACGATTGCCCTGCTACTCCTTTCGTCCTAGCGGATGATGATCTAATCCTGATCTTTTCGTCCATCCTCCCAGCTATTCCAGAGGCTAATAGCTACCACGTTCCACTGAAGAATGCGATGTGGATGCATGATACTCCTTCGAAATACTTGCTCCTCGAGTATTTGAGTATTCGAGTACTCGAATGCCAAAGGAGTCTTCCAGGCAGTGAGAAAGAGAGAGTGATAGGCTATCTGAATATTCTCGGAGCCTGGAATGCTTCTGGCACGAGAAAAAGGTGCACTTGCTGACTTGGCTTCGTCTGCTTTGGAAAATGACTAGGTCTTCTTCCGCGCTGGAGTCCTGGGTCAGATGGAAGAATTGCGTGACGAGCGTCTTGGCAAGATCGTCTCGTGGATGCAGGCCTTCGTCAGGGGTTACATTACCCGCAAGGAGTACAAGAAACTCCAGGAGCAGCGTCTGGCTCTCCAAGTCGTCCAGCGCAACTTGCGCAAGTACCTCCAGCTCCGCACCTGGCCCTGGTACAAGCTCTGGCAGAAGGTCAAGCCTCTCCTCAACGTCACCCGCATCGAGGACGAGCTCGCCGTGAGTATTTTAACATAATGAATAATAGAGCTCGGAAACGGACTGGATCGGACGGATCACTACGAAAAGGGAAGCTCAGGATTTTTGGACGCGTTTCAAAGATTACACAGCGCCTGGTCTATTTTACGAAACAACATGTTCCTACATTAGTCATGCGAGGGGACTTTATTTCGCTGGACGATGACGGTATACTAGAAGTAGTTGCACTAGAAGTAGCTCTGTCAGTCCTTTTGACAAATGGATTGCGTAACCGACATTTGAAGGAACCAACTGTCTACGTACTTAGTAAAGATGGAGGACCGAATGCAATTCGAAGCATCAGAGGCACCTGGTCACTCGTCTTCCGTTCTTTTCCTCTCCCTTTCTTTTTGGCAACAAAATACAATCGGGGAAATGGATACTCGTATCCAGAATTTCAATGGTCAACTGCGAGGAATGTTTACGTCACCGAGGAAAACCGAAACGATTAGGAACCGGAAGAGCGGGAGGCACTCGTCGGTGTCTCCTTTTATCGAGCTACGGCCCATCGGACATTTTTGTCGCGCCTCCTAAATTCAGCCAGAGTGTTTTTTTCTCTTTGAAATTTAACACCGGAAGTCGGTGGTACCCCTTCTCTTTTTGATTGGCTGTCGCGAAATTCCCACGGTTTTCGATCCCCTCTCCCAGGGACTCCTCTCTCTCAAGTTTGATAAGTTTTATTTCTTGAAAATGGTCCTACCAGACGAGCGGCCGATCTAGGAGAAATCTAAAAGCAGACTGGCAGCGCAGCTTCCGCAACTCGCTGGAGCCTTCGCTAGGAAGGCGGCGTCTGGAAGCGACGGTTCGCTTATTTTTAGCGATCCTCCTCTCATTCCCTCGTTTAGCAGCTACCCAGCCTCTTCCATGATCCTCCCGAGTTCCTCCTATCCCCTCCTCGAAGGTGGAGCCATCCGGCATGACCCCTCGAGGGGGGTCCAGCATCGGTTATAAATATTTTTATGAAGGCGTCTCATCCGCCGAATCTTAGCAGTGGGGGCACCCGGGAACCCACGCAGGGGGTGAGATTTTGGGTAGAAAAGTTGAGACTCGCGTAAAGTGGGACCAGTTCAGAACGCGACCGCGAGTCACCGCGAGCCACCGCGCGCTGATCTGCCATTTCGAATGTTCACGAACAGCCTCGAGTTGTAAGACGACCGGTACCTCTTAAGAGAATCACCCTACAGGACGGGACTTACGGGTTATTTGGAAACGAATTCCGAGAAATACGAGAATCTCCTTCGAAGAAGGGAGGAGGACGTTTTCACGATCGACAGACTCCAGGCGATATATTCGATATTTCGTTAATATTTCTGGACCTTTACGAACTACACCCTTACATCCCTGTATCCCTGCAATCCACGCTGCACCACCAGCCGGAGGATCCGAAGCTGTCGACACTCGCGGTTTAACCTCTCTACATGCAGCGAATCCTCCCGCCTTGATTTCCCTGAAATCCCTTCGAAATTCAAGAGAAATTAAGAGACAGAGACGCGACTGTAACCGCCTCGACGAATCGATTGCCCGAACCGTCAGTGGTCCATCGGGAATCGGGCACCAGGTGAAATTCTCAAAAATCCTGGTAAAATTGTACGGGAAACGTTGATAGTGAATTCGCCAAGATGGGAGACGCGATAGTAATCGAGAACGCAAAATATCTGCTGAACTCTGGCGACGAAATCTTGCAGAAACTCGAAGAGAAGGCCGCCAAGGCCCAGGAAGCCTTCGAGCGCGAGGAGAAACTTCGCAAGGAATTGGAGACCCTCAACAGCAAACTCCTCACCGAGAAGACCGACCTCCTTCGTCAACTCGAGGGAGAGAAGGGATCCCTCTCCGAGTTCCAGGAGAAGTCTGCCAAACTCTCCGCCCAGAAGATCGACCTCGAGTCCCAGCTCCAGGTAACGCTTTTCTTATTATTTTTTAACATTCTTTCTCCAGGAGCCTAACAATCAGCAGAATCCATCGAAACTCTTTAAGATGGTCCAGCGTGCAGCGGCGAGTACAGCGTTATCAAGCAGTTGTCTTTATCGAGTGTCGTGTAGTTTTATCGTTGGAATTCCTCGAGTAAATATAACAGTTGAGAGGCAGTTGGTTTTCCTCTTAAAAGATGCCAACGGAGAGATTAGTCAGAAGAATAAAAAATAAGGCGAATGCGAGTGGGAGGAGCGCGGGGCTATTTCTTTCCCGCGAATCATCAGGCTATTTCAACATTAATAGGGTTATTTTGGCTGACGATTCGTAATGTTGCCGAGAGGCGCTAAATTTACACAGCCCTAATGGACGCCGCAGCCCTAGAAGTGAATACGATCGCGCCATCGAAGACGCGGGGGATAACGAATCGCAAATTCCAGAGATCTGTTGCCGGAGTGAATTTTGTACCTCGGGGCGCGGGAGTAGCGTCTTCAGAAAAATAAGCAAACCCGCCTTACTCATGCTGCCAGAGAATATTTAGAGTTGCGAAAATAGCTGAGAATAAATTCAGGTGGCGTAGGTGGCCTGAGTGGCGTGGGCGGGTGGGGGCAGGGTCGAGTAAGTTACCGAAGAAAGAAACGATCAGAAGAATTCCATCGGGTTGACTAAACGATGAAAGAGAGAGAGACATCCTTCAAGATTATTTTCGACTGTATACGTTGGCAATACTCTCATTCTCTGTTTGTTGTTATTTCGCCATGTTAGGGTGATCTGTTAGCCTCGGGTAATGGACACACTCTTACACGATACAACTACATGCTCTATATTATTTGGAGAATATGGAGAATATGGAGAATATGGAGAATATGGAGAATATGGAGAATAAGACTGACTTGATGGTGGACGTGCCGTATCAAGCGAGGAAGACTGTGATGTCTCTTAATTCTTCCAAATAGAGTAGACTCACCCTCAAGGAGCTCTTAGCGAAGCTAATAATAAGACCCGGGGTACTGAGCTTGCACGGAAGCACCAAGAACCATATCAGCAAATTAATCCAAAGGATCGTTATCAAGATTGGCTAGAGTTAGAAATTCTTGGAAATCTAAAGGATCGATCAATCACTCCGCGTACTCGTTCAGGAAAGTAAACGACTCCATTTACGGAGAGCGTAACGCAGTAGGTTGCCGAGGGAAGAGGTGAAGAGGTGAAGAGGTGAAGAGGGCATAGGGGTGAAGGAGCCCTGCGCGTCTAAATATAACGGTCCCAGATTCCAGGTTATTAAAAGAGGGCGTGGCAAGTGGCGAGTGCCGATGCCCCGCTGGAAGTTGAGAACTAAAGAGGGAACAGGTGTAGCGCGTATTTATACGAGGATCCTCTGCGTCACGTCTGCCTGGTTAACCTGGACCGATGCCCCGTCTTCTTAGTTCTTCTCATGGATTTTGGCCTGTTCGCACGTTCGGCTATTCGAGTACTCAGCCCCCTTGTCCACACTTACCCCTGTTTTCCGGTCATTTCTACCTCATCTCTTGGCTCAGACTTGACTTCTCGTTCAGCAAGATGAATCGCCGACTGATCCTCGCGCACGCGTTGCGTTTTTCACTTTCTGGCACGTCCGACGCGTTTCTTTGCGCTTGTACGTTGCACACTTTAACGAGAGTCGTCACTGCGACGCACGCATCACCTGGACCATCGGATGGAGGAACTAATTGGAAATCGGAGAATGGGGTTTGAACATTTTATTGTGGCGTACAGGATATCACCGACAGACTGCAGCAGGAAGAGGACGCCAGAAACCAGCTCTTCCAGAACAAGAAGAAGTTGGAGCAGGAGGTGTCCGGGCTGAAGAAGGACGTCGAAGATCTTGAATTGGCTGTTCAGAAATCCGAGCAGGACAAGGCCACCAAGGATCACCAGATCCGCAACTTGAACGACGAGATCGCTCACCAGGACGAGCTCATCAACAAGTTGAACAAGGAGAAGAAGAACCAGGGTGAGGTTAACCAGAAGACTAGCGAAGAACTTCAGGCCGCCGAAGATAAGGTCAACCATCTCAACAAGGTTAAGGCCAAGCTCGAGCAGACCCTTGATGAACTCGAGGACTCCCTTGAGCGTGAGAAGAAACTCCGGTAATTAGAGTTTTTATTTGCTTTATCCTGAATTTCGCCATGGTCCTTTGAATCGTCCTCGTCACCCGAGTCCTTATATATGTTTAGCGGAGACGTCGAGAAGACCAAGAGGAAGGTTGAGGGAGACCTCAAACTTACCCAGGAAGCCGTCGCCGACCTCGAGAGGAACAAGAAGGAACTGGAGCAGACCATCCAGCGCAAGGACAAGGAACTTTCCTCCCTCACTGCCAAGCTCGAGGATGAACAGTCCCTTGTCGGCAAGCTCCAGAAGCAAATCAAGGAGCTCCAGGCCCGCATCGAGGAACTCGAGGAGGAAGTCGAGGCTGAACGTCAAGCTCGCGCTAAGGCCGAGAAGCAACGCAGCGACCTCGCCCGCGAACTCGAGGAGCTCGGTGAGCGCCTTGAGGAAGCCGGTGGTGCCACTTCCGCTCAGATCGAACTCAACAAGAAGAGAGAGGCTGAGCTCAGCAAGCTCCGCAGGGACCTCGAGGAGGCCAACATCCAGCACGAAGGATCTCTCGCCAACCTTCGCAAGAAGCACAACGATGCCGTCGCCGAGATGGGAGAGCAGATCGATCAGCTGAACAAGCTCAAGGCTAGGTAAGTATTCGCAATTCAGGAGCCTAGAGAGACACGTGTCCGCTAGTAGACACGTGGGTATATCTGACGGATTTTAGACGCTTTGGTAAATCGTTAGACGTCCTCGGTATATCTAGAGCACAATTTATATCTAGCATCTACATTCTGAGAACACTATGAAAAATCCCGGGTGTTTTTAATAGGGCCGAAAAGGGCCGCGCTGATATCCACAACGAGCTGAACAACGCTCGTGCAGCCGTTGATGTCGTAGCCAGGGACAAGGTTAGATGCGATGAAAACGTCCCTTTCCAAATGTCGTTTAAGGTGTCGCACGTCTTTTACAGGAAATGTGTAAAATGCCAAATCCTCTACTTGCACGCCCGTGGGCGATTCACTATGATTCATTACGATTCATTGAGAAAGTCCCTCAAAACGAGCCCCACTTGTAACTCTCCCAATTGCTCTGGTACTTACGATTATGAGCCCCATGACATTAATTTCTTATATTGAATCCGTCAGACCCGTTTATCCTTGTATCTCGAAAACCTGACCCTTGTGAACCCTTGTGCATTTCCATGTGATGATTTATCAACAGGGCCGAGAAGGAGAAGGTTCAGTACTTCAGCGAGTTGAACGAACTCCGTGCCAGCGTCGACCATCTGAGCAATGAGAAGGTAACTTTTCTTCTGAAAAGCTGCCGTCGAGAACAATGCGCATGCTAGACGCTACTAATTTGCGCAGGTTAACATTTACGCAGTACGTGGGGAAGCAGCATCGGGAACGTGTACAACGATTACCTTTTGTGTTAATGTTGTTCGTGCGGAATGGATCTTGCCCACGAAATGCTTCCTGCTTGCTTTCACGTTATGTTTCCTTATTTGTAAAATGCTTATTTTCTTTTGGACACACGTCTTTGCTGTCGTGCCCGAAAGAACGTGGCGAACGGAATGTATCCCAGTGCACTAATATTTGTATACAATGCTAATAGGCTGCTCAGGAGAAGATCGCCAAGCAGCTCCAGCACCAGCTTAACGAGACCCAGGGCAAACTCGAGGAAGTCAACCGCACCCTGAACGATTTCGATGCCGCCAAGAAGAAGCTTTCCATCGAAAACAGTGATCTCCTTCGTCAACTTGAGGAGGCCGAATCCCAGGTCAGCCAACTGTCCAAGATCAAGATCTCCCTGACCACTCAGCTAGAGGACACCAAGAGACTCGCCGACGAGGAATCCCGCGAGCGTGCTACCCTCCTTGGCAAGTTCCGCAACTTGGAACACGATCTGGACAACATCCGCGAACAGGTCGAAGAGGAAGCCGAAGGCAAGGCTGACCTACAGAGGCAGTTGAGCAAGGCTAACGCCGAGGCTCAGCTCTGGCGCACCAAGTACGAATCCGAGGGTGTTGCCCGCGCCGAGGAACTCGAGGAAGCCAAGCGCAAGCTCCAGGCTCGCCTCGCCGAGGCCGAGGAAACCATCGAGTCCCTCAACCAGAAGGTCATCGCTCTGGAGAAGACCAAGCAGCGTCTTGCTACCGAGGTCGAGGATCTCCAACTGGAGGTCGACCGTGCCACTGCCATCGCCAACGCCGCCGAGAAGAAGCAGAAGGCCTTCGACAAGATCATCGGCGAATGGAAGCTCAAGGTCGACGATCTGGCCGCCGAGCTCGACGCCAGCCAGAAGGAGTGCCGCAACTACAGCACCGAGCTCTTCAGGCTCAAGGGTGCCTACGAGGAAGGCCAGGAACAACTCGAAGCCGTCCGTCGCGAGAACAAGAACCTCGCCGACGAGGTCAAGGATCTCCTCGACCAGATTGGAGAGGGTGGACGCAACATCCACGAAATCGAAAAGGCCAGGAAGCGCCTCGAGGCCGAAAAGGACGAGCTCCAGGCCGCTCTCGAGGAAGCTGAAGCTGCTCTCGAACAGGAGGAGAACAAGGTACTCCGTAGCCAGCTTGAACTCAGCCAGGTCAGACAGGAGATCGACCGTCGTATCCAGGAGAAGGAAGAGGAATTCGAAAACACCAGGAAGAACCACCAGCGCGCTCTCGACTCCATGCAAGCTTCCCTCGAAGCCGAAGCCAAGGTACTGTATAAAGACTGCCGTTAAAACTTTGACTCTTTGCAGCTCTTCAAATGGACTTTAGTACTGAAATACGACTTCCATGAATTTCTAGGGCAAGGCTGAGGCGCTGCGCATGAAGAAGAAGCTCGAAGCTGACATCAACGAGCTCGAGATTGCTCTGGACCACGCTAATAAGGCCAACGCTGAAGCCCAGAAGAACATTAAGAGATACCAACAGCAGTTGAAGGACGTCCAGACCGCCCTTGAAGAGGAACAGCGTGCCCGTGATGAGGCCCGTGAACTTCTTGGAATCAGTGAACGCCGTGCCAACGCCCTCCAGAACGAACTTGAGGAGAGCCGCACCCTTCTGGAACAGGCCGACCGCGGTCGTCGCCAGGCCGAACAAGAACTTGGAGATGCCCACGAGCAGCTGAACGAACTCAGCGCTCAAAACGCTTCCATCTCTGCTGCCAAGAGGAAACTCGAAGCCGAACTCCAGACCCTCCACGTAAGTAAACGGCTCCTCTTTCTTCTTAATAAGGATCTGTCTCATGGTTTCCGCTAACACCGATTCAATGGAGCAATTCCGTTTTATAGTCTGACCTTGATGAGCTCCTCAACGAAGCCAAGAACTCCGAGGAGAAGGCCAAGAAGGCTATGGTTGATGCCGCCCGATTGGCTGACGAACTCAGAGCCGAACAGGACCATGCTCAGACTCAGGAGAAGCTGCGCAAGGCTCTCGAGACCCAGATCAAGGAGCTCCAGGTGCGTCTGGACGAAGCCGAGGCCAACGCCCTCAAGGGTGGCAAGAAGGCCATCCAGAAGCTCGAACAGCGCGTCCGCGAACTCGAGAACGAACTCGATGGTGAACAGAGGAGACATGCCGATGCCCAGAAGAACCTCCGCAAGGCCGAGCGCCGCATCAAGGAGCTCAGCTTCCAGGTAAACAAATCTACTTCTCCATTTCGAATAAATCTGCAATTATAGGCCACAATGAAATAACCTGGTAATCCAATGTTTTAGGCCGACGAAGACCGCAAGAATCACGAGCGCATGCAAGACCTGGTGGACAAGCTCCAGCAGAAGATCAAGACGTACAAAAGGCAGATCGAGGAAGCCGAGGAGATCGCCGCTCTCAACCTTGCCAAGTTCCGCAAGGCCCAGCAGGAGCTCGAGGAAGCCGAAGAGAGGGCAGACCTTGCCGAGCAAGCCATCGCCAAGTTCCGCACCAAGGGACGTGGAGGAAGCACCGCCCGTGGTCTCAGCCCAGCGGTAAGGCCCAATTACTATACCAATAGGCTTAACAATAAATGAGCAAAGATCGCGTTTTTCTTTAAATTCCGTGATGCAAAATCGTTCGAGAAGTCAATCGTGATTTGGGGAAAAGGGGAAAGGGGGAATTGAATGTAGTTGAATAGTAGAGAGAGGGAGAGAGAGCAATTGTCGACTCACGAGACTCTTCTGTGTCCCATGTAGCCCCAGAAGGGCCGCAAGGTGCCCACCCTCGAGTAGCCATCGCCGGTCCATGTAAGTCGCGTTCTACGTGTGTCGTGTAATGCTGAAGATACTCGCAAGCTCCCGGTCGGAGGAGTCAAAAGAGTCAGAGTGCACATCCCACCCCCCACTAGAGAGACACATTACGTTGACACGTCTAATTGTTTATGTCCACATTGCACACGTAGAAGTACCAAAAATCCTGTCCGTTCGGCAAGAAAAACACAGAGAACGTGTAGATTACGATCAATCGATACGAATGTGGATCCTAGATCATTCCGTCACGTGCTAGAGCCACGGCGCACGTGAAAGACAGTCCCTACGGACAATACGGAGTTTATCCCTAATCCCAGGAACGATCTGAACTTTCGATCGTTCCTAGCGCAAATAATCTGTCGATGACCCTCGATAATAATCTGATGTAATTAATTTCAGCCACACCGACCTTCGTTCAAACCCACCCTCGATGGTTCCGCATTCCCGCCACGCTTCGACCTGCAGCCCGATGGTGAATTCTAAGCCAACGAGTCCACGATCCCCGTCAATCAGCATCCACTTTCAATGTCATCGACTATTCATCGAAACATCATTAAACGTTCGCGCCCTCGGTTGACTCTCGGTTGACCTACCACTGAGATCATCGAGAAAAGCACAAAGTCAAGAAGAGAAGAGACGCACGAGTATAACGAAGAGAGGCGCGACGTCTTACACTTTCCCGCGAAAATCAATAAAAAATTGTCAATGAATTATTATAATTAACCGTGCGTCATCACACTATACACGAAGAAGATAGACACAGAGAGCCTGAAGACAGAGTAAGGAAGGATACGCGGATAAGAGATGCCAAAAGCGAATGAACCAGCGAACAACATCATCGATTTAACATCATCGATACTATCCTATCCTATAAAGTAATTTAATTTATAAAAAAAAAGCGAAATATGTATTTATTAAAGTAAATAAGCAAATAAATAAACATAAGAACTGAAACCTTATAATATACATATATTAGCGCGGACTTTAAGGAGTCTTCAGCATAGCTACCTACGCGAGTCCATCCTGGGCAGCTGTTGCGCTGCGAATTTACTTGGACTCTCTTCCTTCTCTCCTTTCTTCCCTCCCTAGTCTTCTTCGTCTCCTTTCTCGCTTCTCATCTCTCGTGCATCTAAACGTACCCAAATGCCACACGCGTCCACGGCCACACAGACGCACCAACGCATCAAGTTACGTAAAGTCGTAAGCACAGCGCGATAATCTCGCATCTCGCATCGTTTTCTAAGAAAGATTAGGTAGACGTAAACTCGCAAGCGCGCCAATGTCTAATCCCAACGTGTTATGCCAGTTATGTATATCGTATTATACTATGAAGTGATAATATTACCTAATAAACATAACTGCTCTTACTCTCGTTCTTATCGTCGACTCACTATCAAACTGCTTTGTCGCAATGATAAACACTACAATTTTCGTCACTCTCTTAGAGGGAATTATTTTAAATTTTGCGATAACGTGCAAAGTTAACTTGGACGCTTAGTGCGTAAAATCTTTATTTAACCCATTATTTACAAATTATACTATCAAGAAGTATAAAACATCTAGAAAATTAACTTACGAATGTCTTGGGCTCGTTTCGCAGCAACTGTTGGAATTGACCTTTCGTCAATTCCCACTGAGTCATCTTTTTGAAGGGAATATTAAATTCCTCGCAGGTTTCTTTCAGAGCTGGCCAACAGCGACGCAAATAGTCGTGATCCACAGTAGGTAGGAGGTGGTGAAGGGTGTGTGTGCCAAAATTAGTTAGGGTTAAAAATAGAGAGCTGTCGATTAAATACCGGTCGCGCACCGCATCCAGTTCGAGAAGTGCCCAGTCAAGATCCTTCCGACAGATGTCGCCGTCATGGAAGATGTCGGGGTGATGATGCGCAGCATTGAATCCAGTATAGCCAAAGTAAAAACTGCTCAGGAAAATGATGGTGGTCCAAGTAGCGAAGGCGGCACCGATACTTTCCGAAACGGTACACATGGCCAGGGGCAGAATGAAAGGGATCAAATCTTGGGGATGGAGATCCACTTTGGTCAGTGCTACGTAGTACCTGCAAAAAGAGGCGAATAACTTAGAGAGAAAAAACAGGAATAATAAAGTGAATGGTGTTTGCTGGATAAAGTACCTTTTCGTGCCCTGCATTACGTAAGTCAGCGTGTAAATGATTGGACTGTATATAAGAGAGAGAATTCGCGACATTATTGTTTTGTTCTTGAGTGGCAGCCACGAGAGAAACGGTTCCACGCTGTAGACCTCGTAATCCCATATAGTGTTTGGATATAGGTGGTGACTGAGAACGTGGGTGATTCTCCAGTCGTTCGAAGACATCAGACACAGGTCCATGTAGAACATGCGGAAATTGTTCCTCATGTGCAAATAATTGTGCGCAGTCACACTGAGCCAAGTTAAGAACATTGCTGAAATGAAAAAGGTGGCTTACGGAGTGTCTAATCGCTTTTAGGTATTCCAGAGAACTTTCAATTGCTACTTTCGGTATATAGGAGCGCGTTAAGTTTTAATTAGGAGCTACAAATATTTTCAGAAGTAAGCTGACAACTCACCGCTCACAATGATTGCTGGCCATGCACGTGTCGCACTGGCCGTAAGGCACGAGATTATGGTGCCTGCAAGCAACATATCAGCAATCATGTTTGTCCTAGGAGAAGGCCGATGAATATCGACGCCCTCGAGAGCTTTCAAGGCGCGAGCTTTAAACTTCTTATAAAACCCATTTGGCTGAAAGGTTAATGGGATACATCGCGGGGTGGAGGCGTCGTGAATGTAAAATTTTGGTAGTAGCCTCTCAGCTCTGTCAGTCAGATGATGGACCTGTTTTTTTTTTTTCAGAGAGTAAAATGTAGGATCGCTGATTACGCAATCTTTTGGAATTCTCATGGTTAAAAAGGTACTTACCTGAAAAGCTTCGGTAATATCAGTCCCTTCCGTAAGGGCAATCCACTCTGAACCGCCCGGATGATTCTTGATGAATTGACTCAAGTCGTACAATTTATTTCCAATTCTCCACAGACCCTCGGCGCCGTCATCCTTTCTTCTGCCATCGAGGAAATCGATGCCTGTCTTTAAAGCACCATCGCGCGCCGACGGATAGGACAGCCCGGGAACAGTGCTCTCCAATTTGCCCATCTCTTGTTTCTCCCTATGCGAGATTAAAAAATCTTACGAGCTCCGACGTCCAATTGAATGTAAATATCACATGGAGTCTGTTATTGCCTGAATGGACCAGCCACAAAAGCCTTGGGATTGTCTGCCTCGAAGTTGTAACACCGGTTCTCGAATCTGCTCTGAGACTGCATGATGTGTTTATCAATTCCATTTTTATATACGTACTCACACTGTGATAATATATATTTACAACACGTTAACCTCGATGATAACCCCGCTTAACAATAATAACTTTGCATTATAAATAAAATTTACGTCGACAGGGAAGCATAAAAGAAAATGCATTAAAACGTTTTCATTCTGCATTTTCCTCATTTGCAAGACAAACTTAAAAGACAGTAGAGTTCAGACAATAAGTCAGAAACGAATGCAAAATATAATGCACAAACGGATAAAATTTTGTTCCCTTTTAGGATACCCCTGAAGCTCTCCGGTTCTCGATTTCCTGTTGCGTCAAATATAGAATGGCTTTAGTGATGACCAATACATGCGTTGGTGAACTGAATGCACTTTCCAATAATTCAAGGAATTCCTACTGTACTATGACCTTCTGGCTTATGATGACGAATAATAGCAGAGATGTGCGTTAAACTTTAAAATCGATTATTGATTTTGTGACTTAGATCGCATAATGTAAAGGTACGTGTACGAAGATCGCACTGTTAATAATAATCCATGATTCTAAATTTAGTGCGACAAGTTTCTTCGCGTCATCTTGGAAATAAGGAAACACAGCATATGGTATATTATTATATATTTTATGACGTGATTTTTCGAATCACGGTCCCACGGCGGCTCCGGTCACCGATACAGATAACGTTCTCGATTTCTGGTTCCCTTCGGGTCGCCACCCTGCTCAGAAACTACGCTCTCGGGTTCATTCGTATAGTTATGTCAAGGATCTCGTAAGATTTCGTTATGGTTTAGTTGAGGTCGAGGTGCTCGAATCTGCCGTGGGGAGATAGTCTCGACGTACCGAGTTGCCCGGCAGAGGAGAGTGCCCGACGGAGACGTCTCCACGGACCGGCAGAAGCCCGGGTGAAACACCGGCGCCCCGCTGGAGATGGGCAAAGGGCTGCAGAGCGGGCGGAGATAGTTATGATACGATTAAGGGCAGGAGAGGAACCTCCTGCCCGAGTTAAGGTCGAAAGTTAAGTTAAAAGAATTACGTTACAATTTATATAAATAATTTAATACGCAACGTTGCAATTCTTTAATAGTTCTACGACTACTTGGTGTACATTTGAAGATCAAAGGAATCTGTACATGTTATAGCTTTTGTTTGTTAGGGATGAATACTTCTTTAATCTTTTGGGAGGTTCACGTAAGCCGTGCACCCTTCTACGGGTTAGCACCATCATTTATTTCACTGTAAATTAGAGAAAATCACGTGACTTTGGAACTATATACTTTTTAATGTCAACCGGATCTTCATGCTGCCAATTGCGCAATTATCAATCCCAGGAAACTGATCAGCGGTACGTTCACAGCCTCCGTTCCCGCAGAACTTTTCAACGTTCCACTTCCTGCTCCTGCACTTCCGCCGGTAGCTACGCCTGCTCCAGCTCCTGCTGCGTTCCCAGTGGCTCTATTAGTGAGAACCGGCACTGGCATTTTCTGTATATTCGGACTGGGCGATGACTGATCAACGACAGCTGGCTTCATGGAGCACACTGTGCCCTGAACAGCCTCGCGAGCACTTCCTGTTAGAATTCTGAAGTTGTATTCCTCGGGATTCAATTCGGAGTACATGAAGACGGGAAGACGATCCGACAGTACCCAGATATTGCCATTTTGATCGATCTAAAAAAATAAAAGAAGGTCGAACGACAACACGTACTGTGCGTACTGTCAAAAATGATAATGCTACTACACTAGTGTACGCTGTCTACCTTTAGGTCATTAGGGAAGACCATAGTGACATTATTCATATAGACTCGACCCTGTTGTTGAATGTTGTAGGTAGTTCCGGTTTTCCAACAAGCTATGGCATTCAAGTTAGTCAGGGCATAAATAAGAATTCCAGTTGCCGGATCCAAGAAGCTGACACTGCTCTGTCCGTTGGGACCCCTCGAACCCAAAGCCTGGAACTCGTGGAAGCTCTCTGAAAGTAAAAGCATCGTGCGCTTAGAGTTACAATGAATAATGACTTCTTAATCAGTTTGAAGGCCGTAAACATTTAAGTGTTTTTTTATCGAGGGTAAAAGAGCGATGTATGCTGCAACTACTGCATTACCAGGTACGGTGCTACGAATTCTCGGTATTTCCAAGTAACATTTATTATTCTTAGAGCAATTAAGATTGAAATATACTTGGTGAAGTTGAACGATCTGGATCCCGCAGGAGTTGCGTACTGACGGCAAATTCCATGGTGCTGGAGAGAGGATGGAAGTACAGGGTACTATACCCATCTCCGGTAGGCGCCAAAGCCATACCAAATATTCCATCGGTCCAGTGGAACGTCACACCAGCCACCAAAAATTCTCCGCCCTGATGTAAACAAAGAATTTCTTTAGATCTCTGGGAATACTTGAGCGTTGGGATTTTGGGCCTCCGATGCTACCTGAGGATCCGGATGGAAGAAATGATGCTTAACGAGCCAGGATCTATTCTCTTTCCAGGAGTAGACAACTAGTCCAGGACCTCCAAGGTCGCCCAGATACGCGAAGCTGTCCTCGCAGGAATAGTCTTCGACAACGATATTCGCGAATAGGGAATCGGTTGTGCGCTGATCCGCGGGGATGACGTACTTGCGAATGATCTGATCATTCGCCAGGTCGTAAACTATAAGTGCTGGCGGTGCCTGTTGTTCCGGTTCGGTCAAGATATCAACGAGGCCCGTGTCAAGGACCCAGAGTCTACCGCAACGGTCGGCCCGGATGCGGAACGTAGAGACAACTTCCGGTATGCCAAAAGCGCCGTACTGATGTGCCGCCCAGGATGGATACGGATTCAGAGGAGGTGATTCTCGCGTATCTGAAAGGATAATATTGGATCTTAGGAAATTTCAACTCGCGATTAACGTCTTCGCACAATACTCTCTTTTATGGAAACCAACCGTTTAGACTGATGTAGTTGAGACTCGCAGCCACACCTAGCTTCCATCTTGGCACTGTGATGAAGAGTCTGTCGCCGGCTACCTCCAGACCCAATGGCACATTGTCTTCCTTCTTGTAGGCAGGAAACAGCAGTCTGGTGTCATTGTCCGGCCACGCGTACTCGACTTGTTTCCATTGAAATGCGACGCGGAGATTATCAATCGCGTTGGCAGGCGAAATTGGAAAATTTGCCAAAAAAGGCAAAAGAACTGCCAGTCCAGGCCACATCCTTATCACTGGGGCCCCTTCTCCTCCTTTATTTGCTTGACCAAGTATTCCGGCGGACAACGTCCTTGGGGAGCTGCCTGACAATAGGATTCTGAAGTTGGTCGATCAACGAGCAGTCAGCTGAAAGGAATCCCGCTAACGTGAGATATTGTAGTCAAGCAGCGTAGTCGCCACACCGGACGAGGCGCGAATCAATTCCGTATCTTTAATGGAGCCATGACGCGAGGTCGTCTCTTTCGACGGAACTTCTATTTACTCGATCAACGTAATTTCACCGGCGATTCTTTTCTCAGCGAAAGCTTCCTAGCTCAATGAAATCTATTCGAAAGGAGGTTCTTTTATATTCGGTGAAGTCGGTGCCTTCCTAATAGCTAAATTAAATAACGAGTAGTCACCGCAAGAAAATAAAAAGTCTTTTACTTGGCGCGCTTAACTTTCCTGTCTCTCCTACTTGAAATGGCTCCCAAAGGCGTTTCACTTTTACAAGCGACTAGTTTGGAGAATGTTCACAGACAGAGGACTCGAGTCATCAACCCGCGACGTAACGTTGGCTGCTTAATGGAGTTTGTCCATGTCGATACTCAATGAATCCTCCATTCACAGAATCTATAGGAGGAGCGTCGCTCGTGTTTAAGAATCAAAATTCAATGTAAAAAAATAAAAAGCGATGCCACGTGCAGCTGGCATAATAAAATCTGGCACAACGTAGTAAGCAAGAACCTTCGAAATCAGTTTTAAACGAAAATTCGTTGTCAAGGCTAACCAACCTCGTCAGGATAAAATATCAGTCGTACGCGGAAGACGCGTCGGCGATGAATTTGAGACTGTAAATACAGAACTGCACTATCGCGGCACTAGAAAGAAAGAAAGAAAGAAAGAAGTACGTATGCTCACGGTCTGAACTCGCGTCGCGGACTGGAGGGAAGCGAGGAACACTGGTGGATCGGCGGATCGGCGGATCGGCAAGAGGTGGAACGTTCAATCGCCGAAGGACGTTAACAGTCCCGTTTGAATGGCGTTCGCTCGCTTTCCGAGATTTTCAGGGCTAAATTCATTCGCGATACATATTGCCAACTAATTGTTCCTTGGTTACCCGCGTGAGTTTTAAATCTTCCGTAGAACCGTTCGGAGAGTGCCGAAGCAAGAGGATCGATCGACTGATTAACAATCTGCCTGAAGGATCCTCTGTGGCGTCACTGGGGCTTCATTCCAGAAGATGCTTCCAACTGAACTATAGCTACGTGTTTTTTCTTCCATTTCTCCTAGCGGAACGCGAGGAACGCAAAGATCGAGCCTCTCGGGTCGCCGGTGGCAAATCCATTGCGCAATCGAATTGTAATGCCACGAACGTTGTCAGTGGCTGAGAATTCCCGAGAGTCGCCATGGACAGCCCTGGATAGCCCTGGATCGCCATGAGGTTCTCTTGCTTACCATACGCGTTGCTCGAGTACTTTGCTTTCACTTTCGTGTTCACCTCGCCTCTCGCCTCTGGCCCCTCGCCCCTCGCCCCTCGCCTCTATAACGCATCGCATCGATTTACTTACCTGCCGTTCAATGCCGACTCTGCTGCATGTGCTGCAAGATGCATCTCCAAATATTAGAGTCCTGATAGTCGAATGGATTTACGTGACGTGAATAGGTCGAACATTTGGATGAACCGTATCCATGGATCCAAAGTACTAAATAAACTGGATGTCATCGTACGTTAATAACGATCCAGATGGGAGCAGATTGACCCAATGACATTAGCAGCTCGGAATAATATGGATTAAGCTTAAGCGTCAGCATCGCCGGAAGTCCCGGTTGCCATTGTAAGCATCCAGTGAATTATTCATGATCCCTCAGGAGGAAAGTCGTTTTTCGTCATCAAAGTTCAAAGTTCAAAGTTCAAAGTTCAAAGTTCGACGTCGAACAGTCGCCGGTGAAAAATCGCAGCGACAAGGACGACGCGCGAGTAAAGGTCCACGACCCCGGGGATCGCGAGGATCCTCTCGTGTGGACGTAGGTAGGTGGTGAGGGGATCCAGGGCTGGGTCCAGGACGAATGAATGACAGGACGGAGTGACAGTGGCCGATCGCGGTCGCAAAGAGAATTCAAAGGTGCGACCTCGATCGGCAATGTCAGCCCGACGTTAACGGCGAATCGGATTTTAATTTCTTTATTCGTTTAAGACACTCGATATACATTTGGTATCGGTTCGCTCGCACGCAAATCCTCGGCTGAAAATCAAGAGAGCAAGAGAGCTGTGGGAAGGTGGTACTGATTATTGGTCAGCGGGCCAACTCGGCTCTGCGCCGACGCACAAGAGTTTTACCAAGTTCTTAGCCGTGTTGCTTTAAAAAGATCCCTTCGAACGAATCGTGCCCGCTGTCACCAAGTGTAAGGACATTAGCGTAGAGAAATATGTTTTTTGCGCAATTATACTGAGATCGATATACACACAGAGCCAGCCAGCTAAGCATTCTCCGATTCGAGCGGCCGAACCAGCCGAAGGAGCTTCTCGGACCCCGTCGTCGTGTCGCGTCACACCGAGCTCTCTCCTCTCTTTCTTCTCTCGGAGATGACTCCTTGAGCAATCCGAACGACGACGCTCTTACTCGGCTCGGCCCTTCGAACGAACTTTCGGATCGGTTAATATGGTCTTCCCTTGATTCTTACTCGTTACCATTAATATTGTTTCTCGGTCCAGCCACGCGTCAATCAAGCCGAGAACGTGGGTTCCCATTTTCCATGAGGATTCGCTTCCGTATCCCATGAGCGAGAACGTCATTCCTTCCGGCGACTGTCGCGACCTCGGAGAAAGTTAAGATTCGGGAAATTGGGAAGGCGAGTCGCTCGACTCGATGACGGTAGGTCCAAACAATCGCCTGCCTTGAGGCAAGGGACCGAGTAGGTCCAACAGCGCTGAGAGCTGTGATTGGTTGAAACAATATGTGGCTGTCGCCTGCCATTCTGGGATCTTTCAAGATATTCATTTTTAAGGAAATGAGCGTCAGTCACCGGTGCCTTATGAGCCTGACGTGTCAAGGATCATCGGTGTAACTTCTTGATTCGCAGCAGCAGGAGGCTGTGATTGCACGCCGGGAATTAATCCTCTGGATAAATCCCTCGTCAGGAGGAGCAATATTTGAGATCGTGTAATTCCCAGAACAGCAGGCTATGGCCCAATCGCTGGAGCTTTCCACAGAACGATTTTATTCGGAACAATCGATAATATGACACTCAATAAATAAGAGAATTTCTACATGTCCAATTGCGGGGTGTCAGGTTGTCCTGCCGAATCAGGGGCTCAGCCGATCGGGAAGCCAGGAAGGCGTCGATCGACGTGTCCATCTCAGAAGGTGAAAAAAGATCATCTGGGGGGAGTGGAGCAAGGGCTGCCGATTTCTGGGGATGGTTACAGAGCGTTAGTGTGTAGCGGCGATTCGGAAGGACAACCCCTGAAAATAAAGTGTATAATAACGTAATGCGTAGACAGGTACGTGAACGTGTATTCGGCACGCTTTGCTGTTTCGGATTGATTAAATTGAGAGGGCGAAATGGGTCGGAGAGTCTTTTTGTGTGTGTGTGTGTGTGTGTGTGCGCGATCGAACGCCAAGGAATCAGCGACCTCGATCGGTCGTCGATCGTCGATCGTCGAAACTCGCCTCAGGTTTCCTTCCGCTCGTCCCGTGGGAAGAAACGGAAGAAACGGAAGAAACGGAAGAAACGGTAGGACAAGAGGATGGAGGCTCGACGCTCGACGAGGTGCGGAGGAACTTGGCTCGAGGATCTGGGGGATAATTCGAGGTGCGG